GGGACTATGAAAAATTATATTCACACTAGGCTGTATAAAAAATGGTCTCCTTCCTTTTAGCCTATATAGAGGACAAAATCCAAGATTCTTATGTGATTATACCAAGTGCTTCAGATGGGCCAAGCCACCATCTCAGATTCATTTACTCAGCAAACATTTATGAAGCACTGTTACTGCTAGGCACTATTCTATTGGGAATATAGCACTGAATGAAACCCAGTCCCTACCTTCAATATTGTGAAGAAAAGGAGAAATACGGCAAATAGCAATGGCATCAGGGGAGGTTGGTGATCAGGGCTGGCCTCTGCTAAAACTATCCTTGAACACAAAAGTCATGGAGTATTGGAGGATAGACTGTCCAGGTGGAGGACAGTGCAAAGTTCTGGAGGCCAAGGCATGTTTGTACATACTTGAGAAAAAGACCATGTGGCAGAATCACAGAGCAAACGAAATGATGGGAAAAGTTTGGGTTTGGGAGACAAAGGGAGGTGGTGGCATGCCACACAGGCCTTTTTAGATCTGGTAGGAATTTCAAATTTTACTCTGTGATAGGAAGGCACCAAAAACTTAGAAGAGCTGCATTACATCTGATGTGTCTGCAAAGGCAATATTCTTGCTGGTATACAGATCAAGGAAACAGCCTCCTATCTTACTCCTAGTGCCTCCTTCAACTAAATGACTGCATTAGCAGCTAGTGAGATATGGGCCACATACACCTTTTCTCAACTAATCCTAAAAATGAATCTTAAAGGTACAAAAATGAGAGTGGGGTGGGAGTATAGCTCAGTAGTAGGGTAACTTCCTAGCATTTGTGAGTCCCTAAATTGGATCCCCATTGGAAGAAAAAAAAGTGGGGAGGTGAACAGGCCCAGGCAAGGTCACATCACTTGACCACAATATTAAAGAGAATAATAAAGATCAGGATGATAAAAACAAATCTGATTCCAAAGTCCATACTTCTTCCACAACACACAACATATCCTCCTGATTCAATACATTCTGCATCAGAATGTTTTAGCACTCAGGTCTTTGTATTACCTTCCGGATGTTATAAATATACCTTGACCCAATTCCTCTGATGAAAACTTGTTCATTTATCTTGATCGACTTAAGCATCCTATACTGAGTGAAATTTTTCCTGATTTTTCTCAGGCCACTGAGTCGTTCCATCTTCGGTGCTTCATTATCAGTTGTTCCATCCCCATTTCTCTGAAGCAGTACTTACCTGGTTGTAATGTATCTTTACCTACTTATATATTTCCACCATTAGTTTATGATAATCATGCCTTCCTGCTCATCTTCATCCATCCCACCCATTACCTTCCCCTCCCCCCCCACACACATCCAGCACAGTAATTAGTAAGGAAATCAGAGTTCTCCCAATCAACCCTATGCATCTTAGATATAGGGTATCACATTTAAAATAAAAGAAAAACACTGAAAGCTAGAAAATATCCAGAAACTTGAAAATGAAGAAACAAAATTTTGTCCAAAGAAATATTTTAGAAACTGTAAACACTCAGCCTGAGGATGGAACATTGTTTTTGTTGTTTTTAATATTAGGAAGACTGAAATATGTATATGAGATGGTTTTGAAGGCAAAATTAAGAGCAGTATATGAAAAACACAGAAAATCACATCATGGCTTAATTGAAACAAGAAAATAACAAAGCATTCCAATTGCAGGGGATTTTCCACTTCCAGAAACATTTATATAAAAGCTTATAGCCACCTTGAGGAAAAGCAATGAATGCTCTATAGCCCTGATATTTTGAGGGTAACATTCATAAAACTCCAGAATACTTATAATAGTGCCTGATTTTTTAGTTCATGAACTGTTTTTAGAAAGTTATCATATTCATTGGGTTTTGGAAATAATGGCTCAAACCTTTTCACTGTTCTTCAGTTTTTTAAATGGCTACCTTTCCTATATGTCTGCATTTCTTGGACAGGCTCTGCAGTATGTTGCAAAACACAGGACAGAGGTGGTCAGCTGAGACATCTTTTTTGATGTTCCCTCCCACCAAAACCTTTCTAAAACCTGATTAACTTGAGTTGCCAATTTATAGACCCTCAGCTCCTAAGTCACCCTGAAGGGCTTTCCTGTTGCTCTCTGGCCGCTGCAGCATCACTAAAAGGAATGGGTGTGAAAACATCTGATAGCACTCTCTTCAGCCACAGTCCAAGATCCTGCCATTCTCCCTAGAGACTTCACAGCCTGGCCCAGGAGATCACGGTCCCCAACACTCCCAACAGACATCTCCCCCTCCAAGGTTCCTGACAACTCCAGCACCCCTTCAGCTGTGGTGTGTGCAAACCAGTAACCTCTACCATCCCACAGGCTAAGCTATTCTTCCTACAGTAAACTCTAAACCCAGAAGCTGGCCATTCTCTTCCAAGTTTGTCTTTCCTTGGATTCTCTTCCTGAGTTCTAGGGTATCACAAAGTTCCCTTAGTTTAAAATATTTTAATATTAAATCTCCCTTGTGGACTAAGGACGCAGCTCCGTGGTAACACTTGTCTACTATGTGGGAAGTTCTGGGTCCAATCCCAGTACCACTAAACAAACTTCCCTTATTTAAAACCACAGTGTAGCTGGTGTCTAGATTGGACTTAAACTGACAGTTACCACCAAGCCAGGGTCAGAGAAGCAACACAATGCAAAGCTAGGGTCTGAACGTGTGCTCCCAAATCCAGGTTTTTGAAAACTCAATCCCCAATGCAACAGTTTTGGACGGGTGTTTAGTATTAATGTCCTTATATAAGGGCTTAACTTAAGGAATTTGGTTCCTTTCAACTTACATCCCTTCTACCACCAAGACAGAAATCCTCCCCAGCTTCCCAGGATGCATCATCAAGGCACCAACTTGGAAGCATAAAGCAGCCCTCAATAGAGAGACAGCAGAACCTGCCAGCATCTTGATAGTGAACTTCCAAGCCCACCTGAACTGTAAGAAATTTCTGTCCTTCATGATTTACCCAGTTTTGAGTATTTTATTACAGCAATAAAGATGGACTAAAAGAGTCACTAAAATTTTTCTAGATTTAGCTCTGGGCATATAAAATGGATGGCAGATTTCATGAAATGCGAACTACTGAACACTTTTAAAAATCTTGAAGTTTGAGGGCTCAAGAAGTCAGAGGCTTATAACATCCATAATACTTACACAATTGTTGATCCTATTTAATGAACAGCAGCAGCAGCAGCAAAAAAGGAAGAAATAAGTCTCCAAAATATGTATAATTCACTTCATTTTAAAATGTGTTTACATAGCATCGAGAGAGGGAGGAATGAATAATAAGAGTATGATGATTTTTAGGGCAATGAAATACTACTCTGTATGTATGGTACTATAATAGACATATGTCATTTGTATCTTTGCCAAATCCACAGAATGTGTACCAAGAGTGAACCCTAATGGGTGAGGATATGACAAGCCAGGTTCATCAATGGCACCAACTCTATGACTCTGGCAGTAAATGATGAAAAGAGGGAAAGCTATGAGTGTGTGGGAGCAGGGAGCTGGTGGAAAATCTGTTACTCTTAACTTGCTAAAATTGTTTTTAATAATAATAAGAGAAATAGTTATCAAAATGTTTTTTTGTTTTGTTTTGTTTTGGCATCAGAGATTGAACTCAAGGGCACTCAACCACTGAGCCACATCCCCAGCCCTTTTTTGTATTTTATTTAGAGACAGGGTCTCACTGAGTTGCTTAGCGCCTTGCCATTGCTGAGGGTAGCTTTGAAATCGCAATCTACCTGTCCAGCCTCGTGAGCCGCTGGGATTACAGGCATGCGTCACCACGCCTGACAAAATGTTTTTAAATAAAAAGATTTGCAGAATATCATATAAGTAAAGGATGTGGTATCTTTTGTCTTAAATTCATAATTTATACAGAAAACTACATTTAGAATCATCAATGAATACCTAAGACTACTTTATACACAACAGAGTTTACTTTTTCCTGATTATGTAAAGAAATAGAAGCTGTACTATCATCAAAGAAATAAAACACAATCAATCAGCTAACATTTTTTGAGATTTATCCTCTCCTGAAGAAGTATAAGGAGAACTATCCAAACATCAAAGCAAGGAAAACAAAAGCTAAATGAGTGAGAAGCAACCTACCCAAGTTTGGAAGATGGTTAGAATGTCTGAAAAAGGAAAGGTAAACCTCGGTGACAGCTTTAAAAAACAAATATAAAAGTAAGCTTTAAAAAAAGAATGAAAACTGGATGAATACCTTTAATCTGAAAATCCTAACACTGACATAATGCTCAAAATTTTTTAGATTTGGTAGCATTTCATATTTTGGAATTTTGGATTAGGAATGCTCAACCTAAAGTCTATGCAAACATTCTGAAAATCTGAAAAATGCCAAATCTGAAACACTCCTGGCCCCACACATTTTGAAAAAGGGATATCCAATCTGTATTTTCAAGTGTGAGAAATAATATGCACAAAGATGAGGAGACATGTAGAAAGTTTGCAAGATTCTGAGTAAAACAATAGTGTTAAGGCAAATTGTTGAAATAAATCAGCAAAGTTAAGAGTAGTGGTATACAATGTTAAGTCCACTCAGTCTAGTTTCCCTATAAAAGTGAGCAGGGAGAAAAGTTTAAGGTAGGAATAGGCATTAGAAAACAAATAAACCAGTCCCAATGAATGTAATAAATGACTGATAAAGTTGTTTCAATCTGAGAAAAAGTGTTACTGTCTAGAATAAGGGCAATGTAGAATAAACAGGGAGAATAAAAAGCCAAGATTTTTTGCCCACAAGAGACATGGGATTATGAAAAAACAAAAATGAAGGAATAATATGAAATAACACAGGAAAAAATACCTAACAATATAACTTGTACAACCAGTCGAGGTTGAGGCCTAGATTTACCCAGTCTTACATAACAGACAATGCAATCCAACATATCATATAACCAAGTATAAAACATCTATACATGGAACAGCATATACAGTTTTGCACATTTCAAGAACTCTCACTTGCTCAAAAACTATCAACTTTATTGGCCTTTGCTTCTTTTTTCTCTTTTCATGCTACTTTCCTTTTGACAAGTTCATTTCCTGACAGTACTTCAACTAAATAGATTTTCAAATACAGGAGTAAAGGGTGAAACAGAAACAAAACAAAACAAATAAAAATTCACATCTGTAAGAGCAATCCCGTGTATTCAAACCACAGGAAAAAACAAGGAATCTTGTCATGATTTATCTTTGGGTGACATTGTTTTGTAACTACATATAATTTAACAAGGCATTATAAACCATTAAATACAAAATTCCAAAACATTGCACATTTATAAATTTCAAAAAGAACATAATTATAGTGATACATGTCCAAAAAATAAACCTCATTTTTGTCAGAAATCTCTAGGAAGGAGAAAAGAATTGTCACAGAAAAGACTGAAAGTAGAATTCACGCTGATAATGACGACAACATGTTTCAGTCTTAAACTCTTCCTATATTGATTATATCTTTATTCCTTGATCTCAAAAAATTTGGGGGATTAGGCTTTTGTAAAATACATTTTTCATATTCAATTAAAATTTTTGAAATATCTTACTAAATTTGTTAATTTTTTTCTATTTAACAATTTCTCAATATACCTAAAACAGTGAAAGAATTGATAAAATTTTGTATTCACAATATAATTTTTTAAATATAATTGTTCTCATTATCTGTCTTAATTAATTCTCTACTTAGCAGTCTCCATACTGCTGGTCCCTCTTTCCTCCCAAAATTTCAAAAACAAACAAAAAACCTTGAAATATTAACTAAGCATGTAACTAAATCATTTCTGTACAGAATTTCCTGAACATTTATTATTTAGATTTTTTTTAGTTGAGTCACATGTTTCTTTTGAGAAGAATGGATTTTGATAAATTCATTTTTTTTGGGGGGGGGGGGGGGGGTACCAGGGATTGAACCCAGGGGTTCTTTTAACACTGAGCCACTTCCGCAGCCTATTTAATTTTTTGTTTTGAGACAGGATAGCACTAAGTTGCTCAGGGCCTCGCTAAATTGCTGAGGCTGGCTTTGAACTTGCAATCCTCTTGCTTCAGCCTCCCAAAGCCACTGGGATTATAGACATGTGGCACCATGCCTAGCCTATAAATTCCTTTTTGTAGGTAAAAGAATAAAACTTTTCCATATTTAACACAAAAGTGAAAATACTGCTCTCCACTGGTATTATAAAGTTTCTTAAAATATTAGTTATAACATACAATTTTAGAATAGGATTATCTTGTTCATTATTGGAACTACATTCTTGCAAATAGGAGCACAATCCAAACTGGCACTATTCAAAGTCATTATAGCACAATCTCCAAAGAGATTATGGCTATGGTATATATTATGTTGGTCTACATACAGCTAACATGCAATTGGAAATCATTGCCTGATGTCTTTATTATCTCTGCCTTCTTTAGAATTTGTCTAATGGAGGGTATCACAAGGCCTGGAACTTGATCCACCCAGATCCACCTGAAGTTTACCCACTGAAAATCTGTGTTTTTAATAGCCAAATATAGGGCTGGGGATGTGGCTCAAGTGGTAGTGCGCTTGCCAGGCATGCGTGCGGCCCAGGTTCGATCCTCAGTACCACATACAAAGATGTAGTGTCCGCCAAAAACTAAAAAGAAATATTAAAAAATTCTCTCTCTCTCTCTCTCTCTCTCTCTCTCTCTTAAAAAAAAATTAGCCAAATATAATCTTCAAAGTAATTCCCTATTTGGTTATGCAAACTCTTTGCTGCACAACGGACCATAATCATAAAATAGAATGTCAGTGGTAAAAACATCTCCACAAAGTAAACAAAATAACTTTATTGGTAAGTGCCTCTTGAACCAGTCAAAGCAGTAAAGTTAAAAAAAAAAAAAAATAGCTGAGCACAGGGGCACACGCCTGTAATCCCAGCAGATCTGGAGGCTGAGGCAGGAAGATTGTGAGTTCAAAGCCAACCTCAGCAGCTTAGCAAAGTGGTAAGCAACTCAGTGAGACCCTGTCTCTAAATAAAATACAAAAAAAAAAAAAATGGCTGGGGATGTAACTCAGTGGTTGAGTGCCCCTCAAAATTATGAACATTTTCAAGGTTAGTTTTTTAAAAAATATACTTGAATCAAAAATACAATAGTACATGGCTTGTATTAACTCTGAAAGCTTAAGCAATAGGAAAAAAATACATATTTGTCCTGTGGTGACTATTTATTGTGGTGACAATTTTATTTTCCTCTTCACATTTTTCGGTAACTGTTTCAATCCCCAGTAACAAAACAAAACGAAACAAAAAAACCTCCCGGGCTGAAGGTAACCCACAGGATTTAGTCTTTAGTGTTTGACACTTCAGTTCTGTAACAAAGGTACTAAATACAAACAATATTTTGGGGAAAAAATTCTTTGATACTATGTGCTTAGAAATACCTGACAGTAAATCTACTTAGCAAAAATGCTGCCATTGGGTAAAGTGTTAGTATGTAGTACTTGAAAATATATTCAGATATTCTTTAATTTCATTAGGCTGTTCAATATGTTATATTAGTCATGCTTTATGACAATTTTTAATTGTTCATAAAAATGCTTCCTGTTTATTATAAATAGTTATAACACCTGCTTGGAAGAAATTACAAAAATCAAAGAGCTATGTTCAGTTCTAGCTAGAGTCAAACTCTGAAGACTATAGAGGCTTTAAAGAAAACCCAACTCTTAAAAAATATCTTTAAAATACACAAGTTGATTTCCACACTTTTAAAGTTTAGTTTCAAATTTCATAAAGCAACTGGAATCTAAGTCCAGTTTTTAATACCTAACCTTAAGACTAAAATCTGGAAAATAATCTAATAAAGTTCATATGTCTCCAGCAAAGTGATTTGTAAACTGTCAAGTATTATAAAGATTATCTCACATAGAATCAAAGCATTAGTTGAATGAGTTGTTAGATGTCACAATAAAAAATTCCTTTTAGCTCTATATAACCCACTGTTAAACTGATACCATAAAAAAGTACAACATATCTTAGAGATATTTGATTTCTGAAATTTTAAAAGTAACAGACTTCCAAATAAACTATAACAATTTTGGTATTCCTTTAAGCTGCTTAAAAGTGAATGCTATATTTTTATTTATTTTTTTTTTAAAAAAAGGGAATACTAAAGAAGGTTAAGCATAGATAAAAACATCAAGAATTAAAATCATCCATGTTTAAATATTACACATTTCCTGGTCTAAAGACCAAGTAACACTTTAACATAAATTGTGGGTCCTTCAGTTCACATTCTACTATTTAGGCACAAAATGAAGATAGGTCACAAATTTATGAACATTTTCAAGGTCAGCCTTCAAGAAATATACTTGAATCAATGACAGAATAGTGCATGGCTTGTATTTACTTTGTCAGCTTAAGTAATAGGAAAAAAAATACATATTTGTTCTGTGGTGACTATTTATTTTGGTGACAATTTTATTTTCTTCTTCACATTTTCGGTGACTGTTTCCCACTGGTATCATCAACCAGGTCTCTCAGGCGAGATAAGTGGTGCAAGGCCCTTCATTAAAAAGTATAGAATACATTATAAACCAACATTAAGGACTGAATAGCCAATGAAGACAGCAACAAAGGGTGATTTACATTGTTTATTAACTTCAAAATTAGTAGAAAAAATGAACTCAAGAGAATAATATAAATATCAAACTACTGAAAACTATTCCTTATAAAACTTTTCAGATCTGAATATTTGAGGGTTAAAATAATTTCCTAATCTTCAATAAACATTTATTTAGAAATTGTATTTTTGACATTCAATTTTTAAGTTAATCTGCCAAGTAACCTAAGAAGAAAGAATAACATATCATTTGTATCATACTTAACAAGTGACAGCACTTTTAAGGTCAGTTACAGTTGTAAATAAAACACATTTTTATTGAGTGGGAGGAAAATCAATGACTTCTCCAATATGAGTGAATAGTGTATATTATCCTAACCATAAAACATGGAAAAGATGACCATATACCTAACCAGAATACTTTGCAACCTAGAAAGCATAATTCTGGAATTGAATTAATTTTTAATTACCCTTAAAAAGTCAATTTACAGACTAAAAACAATGAAAAGTATACTGACACACTTTTGAACATCTGAATTTACTTCCTAACAGTTCAAATTCTTTACTGACAAAACTTTTCAAATTTAAGATTGCTCCTGTTATCCCAACAAAATCAACAACTAAATGCAATCTAACAAAACATGAATTTTGTTCTCCTTAAAAGTAGAATTTTGTAGGTAGCACACTCTAAAAGCACATATGGATCAGTATCAGTTTTTATGGTGACTTACAGCCCAGTGTTTATTTTTAACCAAGAAAAAGATCTCTTAAGATACGTACTTTATCTCAGAAAACACACTTGGGTCTGCAACACAAGTACAATATCAATGTTTTTAACAGCAATGAAAAGCTTGAAATCATTCACTTCAAAATCTAAAGCAGAATGATGTCTTCATCCTAGATGATCAGCTAAGGTCCTATTCTCCATGAACAATTTACACTACCATTAGTGTTAGAAATAGGTTTTCAATCCAGACTGCCTACTCTGTCTGAGTCCCAATGCTACTTCTTACTAGCTTTGCAACCTTGAGCAAGTTTATTTATTAATACTCTATAACAATTACGTAATCTATATTATGAAGACAAAAATAGTACTTTCCTCAAAGGGTCTTAAGGATTGAATGAATTATACTCAATAGCACTTAGAACATTCAAATATTCAATAAATGTAATCTGTCATTATACACTGATTTCTACTAAGTATAAAACACCATATTCAAGTACAATGACAAGCTACAAAGAAACAAGCATTATTTCTACCAAACATGTATATAATTAAATTAGAGTCCTAAGTTCACATCTTATGTTTATACTTTTCCACTACTTATTTACTTAACAGAATCCTAAGCAAATTTTGAAAATAAAAAAGGTAGGAAACATTTAGTTAGCTTCACTTATTGTCAAGTTTTGAAATAAGTTACAAGAGAAAAATTTTTTATCTTATTATTTCTTAAACTTAAACTCAGTAATTCTATCTTCTGAGGACACTTCATGGTCACACAACCAAATTCATAAAGAGCTTTCTCTTTTGTCAATATCATAACCATAGAAAAGATTTATATTCTTCACTTTTATATTAGAGAATTTAACTAAGAAACTTAGATGTATCTTTATATTCAAATATTATACTTTATATATACTTTGTATATAATTTTAGATGTCAAATAATGATACATTTGTTGCTATTATATGTATTCTAAACAAACTATAAAAATTCATTTCACAAGTTATTATTATAGGATATCCATACATACTATCTCAAATTATTGCTATTACTCAGAAATTAAAAGAGAAAGTGAGCTGTTCATATCTGTTATATTTTAAGTGTCTAAGGATATCTCATTAGGTCCTTAGAACATTTTAAACAGGAAATAACAGATTTAACAGAAAATGTTTTTCTAAGAAGCTTAAATATGCCTACTATGCATCTATTTTTGAAACTACTTAATTCCATCCTAATTTTGGTCAAAGGACTGTCGATTAAGTTGAATTTGTATCTATATTAGTAAAGAATACTTACTTTTGAAGAGACCTAGTAATAGGAATCATACTTCCCTTCAATTGTAATTTAGAGAAATCATCCTCTGAAATCTATTATTAAACACCAAAAAGCAAAAAAAAAAATATTTTTTTAAATTTCAAAATTAAATGCTATTAAAATATGATTAAAAACATAAAAAATATATTTTCTCCATTTTCAAGAATTCATTTTACCATCAAGTTAAGAGAGCATTAAATGTTTTTATTTTTCCTTTATTTTAAAAATACAACTACCACTTAGATTCATCTTTCAATTATACATTAAAAATTATACATCCAGGAGCTAGGGTTGTTGTTCTGTGGTAAAGCACTTGCCTAGCATGTGTGAGGCACTGGGTTCAATTCTCAGTACTGCATACAAATAAATGAACAAAATAAAGCCCACCAATATCTAAACAAGTATTAAAAAAGAAAAAATTCTACATCCATTAAAAATTAAATCTTTGCCTCAAATTACAACTTCACTGAATAAGGTGGTATCTCAATGATGCTTAAAAGGGGAAGGGAAAGAAGCAGGGTTACACTCTGTATGTTAATGTTATGATTATTAGAATGTTGGGAGAAAAATTTTTAAAATATAATTCAAATGAATAGGTTGTAGTAGTTCTCAAGAGCTGATCCACTCATTAAAAACTGAATTTTAGGGCTGGGGTTGTAACGCAATGGTAAAGACATGGGATTCGATCCTCTGCACCACACAAAAATAAACAAATAAAATAAAGGTACTGGGGTTGGGGTTGTGGCTCAATGGTAGTGAGTCTGCCTAGCATGCATGACGCACTGGGTTCGATTCTCAGCACCACATACAAATAAATAAAATAAAGATCCATCAACAACTAAAAAACAAATATTAAAAAAATAAAATAAAATAAAGGTATTGTGTCCATCTACAACTAAAAAAAATTAAAAACTGAATTTCATAAAACTCTATTGACTAATAACAACAAAACAATGACAACCAAAACAAAGCTAACATTTATTGAGTATTTACCAGTTGCAAAGCACTATATTAAGTACTTTATATCATTTGTTTCAATTTCTCAACAACCTCAGGTCCAAAAGGATAAATGCTACATGATCTCACTTATATGTGGAATCCAAAAAAGTCCAACTAACAGAAGTAGAGTAAAATGGTGGTTACCAATGGCTGGTAGTTGGTAGATAGGAAGGTGTTGGTCAAAGAATACAAAATTTAATTAGGAGAAATACATTCAAGGGAGCAGCTGTACAACATGGTAACTATAGTTAATAATAATGCACTGCACACTTAAAATTATTGGCAGTATATTTTAAGTGTTGGTAATATATGTCAATTAACTCAATTTAACCATTCCACAGTGTATACATATTTTAAAGCATCATGTTGTACACCAAAAATATACACAATGTTTATTTGTCAATTAAAAAAAATATATTAAAACTGAAACTAAGGAGGTGAAATGATATGTACAAATGTTCTACTTGCTAGTAAGTGGCAGAATTAGAATCCAGACTTTAAAAACTATACCTTTATGAAGAAAATTCATCCCCTATAGAATAGCAGCCCAGATCTCAATTTATAAGTCAAGTTTTTGCTTACTTTTACCTCTTCTTTTGGATCTGCAGTTCTATTCTGATTAAAACTTTCTTGTACTGCTTGAAGATTAAATAACATTTGTTTCAAAGCTTCAACAGGACCATGATGTTTGCCTCCAGAAAGGGTAGAGCTCTACAGTTAAAACAGATAATAGTAGACCATTCAAATGTGAGAGAATTTAATAAGAGTTTTATTTTGTGTTATTTTCCCCCAAAATAAAATTAATACAAAAATCTAAATAATGTACATTAAAGTGTTTTAAAAAATCAAAATTGTAACTTAACCACTTCCTCATACCCAGTCCCCAGATGAAGCTATTTGGAGATAATATGATTAAGTTTGGCATATTCTTTCTAATCCCTACTCTTTCAAAATGAATAGTAAATGTTTATATTTAAACAAATTAATTTCGTAGGCTTAAAATTACAGTTTTTTATGATGGAAAAGATCTTCAGAGAGCAGGGAAACCAGCATGCTCGTTTCAGATATGTAAATGATACTAGTTATCAGCTGAGTTAGGACTAAAATTCCAAATATAGCTTTCTCTGCAAACTTACATGTATGTTTTCATAAAGAGAATACTGACCTTTCACCTCTTCAGGTGAAAGAACTACCTAAATATCACATCTCATTTATCACTGACCTTACCTGTGTCCAAAAAAGGCAACAGCACTTAGCCAAATAAGGTGGACAAATAAGGTAAGATAATTTGTAAGGGATATTTTAAAACTTCTTTTAAAAAGCCTTAACAGTCTATATTTTTTCATATTTTAAATGAGTTGCTATGTCCTAAAGGCTATACACAAAGTAGCAAATAAATTTCTGAAGATATCTGTAATTTAACATATTTCAGCATTGGCTATGCAAGTATACATAATATTTAAACTTCACTTAAATAGGAAGTGTTTGACTTATGTAAGACATTCAAGGAAAGCAGAATGACTAAAAAGATTTTAAAGATCCTCCCACAGTTAGATGAACAGAATATAAGAAACAGAGTATGGGAATATAAATGGTACATCCACCATGAAAAACAGCATAATAATTCCTCAAAATTCTAAACACAGAATTACCCTATGATCCTGCAATTTGCCTTCTAGGTATATATCCAAAAGAAGCAAAGGCAAGAACTTAAGCAGATATCTGCATACTCATATTCATAGCAGCATCCATAATAGCAAAAAGCTGAAGAACCCCAGTGTCCATATGTGGATGAATAGATAAATGTGGCACATGCACAGGAATATTATTCAGTCTAAGGAACAAAGGAAATTTTTGTCATATGCTCCAACATGAATGAATCTTAAAGACATTAAGTCAAATGAAATAAGCCAGTCATGATAGGAAAAATATTATATGACACTTCATATATGTGGTTCTGAGAGTAATAAATTCAGTGACAGAAAGTAGAATGTTGCTTTTACCAGAGGGTGGGGGGAGAGAAAATGAAGAGTTGGTGTTTAATGGGTGCAGAGTTCCCATGTGGGAAGATGAAAAAAGTTCTGGACTTGAATGATGGTGATGGCTATACTATGTACAAATACTAAATGCCTCAGTAGTACACTTAAAAAGGGCTAAACTAGGTTAGCACAGTGGTACAGCTGTGCCTATAATCCTTGATACTAGGAAGGCTGAGGCAGGAGAAACACAAATTCAAGGCCAGGCCCGGCAATTTAACAAGATTCTGTCTCCAAATGAAATTTAAAAAGCAGGTGGGGATTTGGCTCAGGGACAGAGTATTTGCCAAACATGTGCAAGGATCTGGCACCAGACACACAAAAAAAGGTTTGGTTAAACTGGCAAATGTATATATATTTTTTGCTATAAATATATATAAATTTAAAATTTTAAGAAGAAAAAGAAGCAGAGTATAACGATTCAGTTGGGCTTAATAAATGTTGGTATTGTGATATATATACATATATATATACATGTATACACACACACACACACACACACACATACATATATGAGATTTGTCATTAAAACTGGTAACAAAGTGGGGCACAGTGGTGAATGCTGGTAATTCCAGAGGCTTGAGAGGTTGAGGCAGGTGGATCACAAACCAGCCTTAGCAACTTAGAGAGGCCTTAAGCAACTCAGCAAGACCCTGCCTCTAAATCAAATATAAAAAAGGACTGAGGATGTGGCTCAGTGGTCAAGCACCTCTGGAATCAATCCCCAGTGACAAAAAAAAAAAACAAAACAAGACTCTAGTAATCAATGTCTCTGGGTACATCTTTTTGTTTATCTCTCTCAGAACCATAGTAATGTTTCAAACATTCAAAAAACAGACAATTTAAATTAAACGGAACATGAGGGAAGCCCAAAATGTAATAGTAAATTACCAACAGTATAATAAATAAATACAACCACACTAAAGGGAGTTAGTTGGGAAGAAAATAATTAGAAATAAGGAAGAAAGCATGGGTGATGTATACCCATAATCCCGTGACTTAGGAAGTGTAGGCAAGAGGATTGTAGGTTCAAAACTAGCCTCAGCAATTTAGTAAGTAACCTAGTGAGACTCTATCTCAAAATAAAAAATTAAAAAAGGGCTGGGGATGTGGCTCGGTAGCTGAGTGCCCTTGAGTCCAATCCCTGGTACCAAAAAAATAAAAATAAGGAAAAGCTAAACCAAACCTTGTAGAATTAAACTGAAAATCTTAAGTATCAGTATGAACTCCTGGTTTTATATATATCTATATACACATATACAGGTATAGAAACATAGATGTGTAATAATATATGGTTTGGTATAAACATGCTTCCATCAGCCTGATGAGTCTAGAATGAATAACAATCCAACAGCAATAAGCACATCCAGTGCCTAGCTCTTTGTTTCTAAATACCATTTTCTAATAAAAACAACCACAGCTCCTCAGAGAAGAGCTCGAAAAAGAATGGGGGCATGTCAAAAGGACACAGGAACTAAGCGCAAGGAACTCTTATGGTCCTAAACTGTAACAATTTGAACAATATAAATAATTTTGTATTATAAAACTAGAATTAAAAAAAAAATCTGAGTCCCTACTGATGTCAATAATTTCATAAACAAATAGGGGAGAAGGCATAACTATTATTACACAAGAATTTCAATTAATACATGTTGAAGACAAGATTCACCAATGATATTAAAATTAGTGGATATAACTTTGCAGTCTCCAAGTACCTTCCCTAAGATACATACTAATTATAATGGGAAATGGTAGCTTTACTAAAGCTAATAAATACCACCTTAATCAAGCACTCAAGTTTAACACCATCAATATGAACAGAATATTATACTGTTATATTACTATTATTTTACTGTTAACATGTCAATATTATTATCAATGACATAATACTGTCAACCATCTAAAATAATGCACTGAAAAGGCACAATATTACTTCATTGGTATTCTTGCCAAAAATGCACAACCCCATCCTCCTTATCATGAGAAAACTTCTACAAACAAACTATCTACAAAAACACTGACGAGTACTTTTCAAGTGTGTCAAGGAAAGACTAAAGAGCTGAACAGAATAAAGTCAATTGAGGAAACACTACAACTAAATGTAATGTTGGATCCCAGAGTGGAACCTGGAATAGGTCACTGAGTAAAACTTGTGAAAGCTACACACTGAAGAGTTCTGTAACTAAGACAATGACCTGCTAATTATTGTACTATGGTTCTATAAGTTGTTAATATTATGGGACTCTGGGAGAAGGGAACACAGAAATTTTTATATTATTTTTGCAACTTTCTATACATTTAAAATTTCAAACAAAGCAAACCTCAAAAAAGAAAAATGATCCTGGTAGTGAGGTTGTGTATGTGTGGGCAAGGGTGCTAGGGTATCATTGATTAGTATTAATACTCATCTATCTTAATCTTAAAAAAAAAAAAACTCCCAAACTTATTCTTCTACCAGTACTCCTTCTTTAAATAAACGCCACCACCAATCCCCTATATTGCTTGGCTCAATCATATTGTATTCATCCTATCAGGACTATCTTCAAAATATATCTCAAGTCTAACAATTTGTGACCACCTCCAACATGCCAACTCTAATCAAAGTCATTACTCTTCCAATTCCAAAAGACTGCAATAGCCTCCCAATTAGGTTCCCGGCTCCTTCTCTAGGTAGTTTCAAGATATGCTTCACACAACAGCTAGTTTCTACTTCAAAATGTAGATCTGTCATTTTCTATTTTAAAATATTTATAAATGTATATTAGAAACACAAACCTCAATATTCTACTGACCTGAGAAAATAAAATTTCCTGTATAATGGTCTATTTACATGTTTTCCAGAAACAAACAAACATTATAATAATAATTTAGCCTATCTGCAGAATTCAACCCCAGGTCCTTCTACTTTAGAATATTAAAATAAAATTACCAATAATTCTGAAAGGAGTTATGGTTTTATGGATGTGTGTTGAGAATCTGGGCTATTCTTGTTGTAAAACACCTAAGAACTTAGAAATTAATAACTATATATTAGTCATAACCCTTCTTTTAATAAGTTAAGATTTAATTTCACTCACCTGATTATCATTGTTTAAAAAGTCTTCAAGAACCTCTTTAGCATACTTTTCACTTGAAGTTTGTCGAGTACTATCATTAGAATTAACAGGAACAGGAGATTTGCTAAACAGGATTGAAAAGATATAAAACAGCAATTAAGTTCCCAAATTCCAAAAATTATACAATATATTACTTTAAGGATTTTCAAATGCAAGTGGTCACCAAGAAATAACCATCATGAATATGACTCACATCAATGTTGGATGGTAATTCCTCTATCTTCTCCCTAAATTGATACTAGAATCCAATCCAATCCCCCCCTCCCGTCCTCCTGATTCACCTTTCAAGCTTTGAAGAAAAACTTTAAAAAGAAACTGAAGATACAAGTCCTCAACTAAATGAATAAGCCCTTAACCACAGAACAGTCATTAAAAACTCACTGTTTAAAATGAGCAGTACAGCCGGGTGCTAATGGTGCACACCTGTAATCCTAGCAGCTCGGGAGGCTGAGATAGGAGGATCATAAATTCAAAGCCAGCCTCAGCAACTGCAAGGTGCTAAACAACTCAGTGAGACCCTGTCTCTAAATAAAAAATACAAAATAGGGCTGGGGATGTGGCTCAAGAGTGCCCCTGAGTTCAATCCCAGGTACCCCGACCCCTGCCAAAAAAATTGAGCAGTCCATTTTTCCAATTAAACATTGTTAGGACTGGGGGTCAGTGTGCTCAGTAGTAGAGCACTGTCTAGCATGTGCAAGGCCCTGAGTTCAATCCACAGCACCACAAACAAATAAAAAGATTTTTAAAGCTATTTACCCAATGATAATAAAAAATCCCACAACTCCATAAATTTCTACTGAAATGGCAGTTAGATGTTCTCCCACTTCAAGGTGATAGGACAGACCACCCCTCCAGAACTGGTTTTTACATGTGGATAGATTATAGATTATACTGGGAAAAGGATTACTTTTGAAATTAAAATTCCTGAGCACAATCCCAATCCCATTTCATAATATGATCTTAGGTAATTTGTCAGAACTTCAGTTTCCACATTTGTCACTACTTAAAGGTAATGCAAAAATCACAGTGTTAACTCTCTATGAAGCTGGTACATTTACTATAAATACTCATTTCTTTCTTAATGATTAAGTAATAGAGGAAAGAGCACTCTCAGCACTCTATTCATTCCATTTGTTACTCATATACCACTAAAAAGAATGTAACTCTCAAGAACTCAGAGATCTGAGAATCTTTTTAAATAATTTAAATGTCACGTGCTAATATTATTTCTTTATAAAAAGCACTTCTTTATTGGCATATTCAATTGCTAATTTACCATAAGCTTTTTCTCACTTTAAGTAGTCTTTTCCCTTATTGTTTACCAATAAAGTTTATATATCCATCAACCAACTGTTGTAAAAAGACATTTTCACACCCAATCACTGAAGATGATGTGATTATTAATGCAGAATTAATTATGTTATTCCTCTACCTTTGTATTTGTTTGAAATTTTTCATAATAAAAAGTTGTTTAAAAAACAATTAACTGTTATGATTATATTCTTCCTTTTAGAATTCTACCTTTAGTTGCTTCACGTTCTATTTTGTTTCAGCCTAATGTCAGGTTGATAATAATTTGTCAATCTGAAACAGATTTGTTTTATCTACAAATATAAGCATCAAAATGTTAACTGATCCTTCAAAACTGAACTACTCTGTATGCAGATTGGTAGGCCAAACCAAATTCAAGAAATTAAGCTAAAAGAAGAAAATGAAATATTCTGGATGATCATCATCGCTACTACGACTTATAAAAATGTTCATCCTTAGTCACAAATTATACTAAAAGTAATTTAACACTCTAACCAATTGACTCTTCATAACAATTTCAGAGCAGTTATTTTTTTCTCCAACTCTAAAGGGCAAAGATGGGAATCCAAATTGGAATTACAATCAGTGTCAACATTCAAAAATTAGGTATTTAATTTAGAAGTAATCAAAAATAAACCCAGGAATTAATAAACTCTAACAAAATGAAAGCCCAGACAACTAAAGATAATTTAGAAGAGGCTGGGAACAGTGGCAGATATCTGTAATCCCAGGAGCTCAGGAGGCTGAGGCAGGAAGATTGCCATTTCAAAGCGAGCCTCAGCAACTTATGGAGATCATAAGCAATTTATCAAGACCCTGTTCTCTAAATAAAATACAAAAAGGGCAAGGGATGAAACTCAGTGATTAAGTGCCCCTGGGTTCAATTCCTGGTACAGAAACTAATGATAACAACAACAATAATAATAATTTATAAGAGCCTAAGGCATGATATGTCACCAATAATGCATTGCTGGTAAGTCCAAATGTAATAACATCACTAACAATAAAAACTAACTCCACATTCACACTCTCAGGTGGCTAGGTAAACATTTTTAGAATTATTCTGAGAAACTATATGATAGAAAAATTAAAAACAACAAATGAAAACAATTTTAGAAACTACAAAAACCTAAATGATAGACCATATAAGAAAATGCTCATCATTTAAGGAAAATGGTAACTAAAAGATAATGTAAAATATAAATGAAAAGGAATGAATAACTAAATATAAGGATATATATTTAGTGAACATGGGGAGGGGTGGAGCTTAAAATTGAAAAAAGGAACAAGAATTGCCTAACAATTCTCCATTTGCAAATTAACCATTTTTGGTTCTAATCCCTCATATTGACATATACCAATATTTAACAGTGAAACAAAATGAATATGTAACAAAGATAGAAATTACATAATGTACCTATGGGCATGAAACATTACACCATCTTGTGGTAACAATAAACACTGCAATTTAAAGTAACCAACACTGAAGGATGCATTCTACAGAATTACAAAGTTATTATTAATTACCATTAAGTTATTTAAAAAATAAATCTGATGTTCACACAGCATTTTTCATTTGGGAAACTCAACAGCTTTTCCATTGTCACTTACAAAGTAACAGGAATATTTTCCCATGATCTTTCAGCTTCAAGTTTATCTAATGAACAAGGACTGTCATCCTTTTCCACAGACTTTGGTAATTCTTCAGTACACTGATCCAGATTTTTCTTGGCCTTCAGGATAAGCAGTTCAATTTTGTCACCTAATTTAAAAATATTATATTAATTCTTCAAAAACAAATGGAAAGCACTACAAAATCTCACAAAGGCAACAAGATTTAAGATAATTAAGACATTAACAGCAAATTATACTAAATGTTAACACTTCAAGCAAAGAAAAAAGGGGAGAAAAAAAATAAACCTAAAGAATCTGCATTAAATTAAGGTTAAAAGCATTCTAAAGACATATATCATTACAGCAAAAATAAAACATAAAAGATCCTAGATATTAGTCCAAATTTTCAGTACTTCCTTTTGTTTAAAAAACCAAAAACAAAAAACTAAAAACAAAATATTACCACTGAATGGCTTTTTGGATTGTCCTGAGAGAAGTGGATTCTCATACTGACATTGGCTATGTTCAGAATCACATCTGTATTCATTAACTAATCCTTTATCATCACTCAAGTAATTTGAAAAATTTGAGGGCTCAAAAGAATATTCACAACAATCTAACTTATTTGTAAGCCGAGAAGTTCTTTGTGCCTGATAACTATGTCTAGAGGAAGAATGGTCTTCTTTAAATACTTTATAAACCTTTTGACTACTTGCATCAGGTAGCAAGTCTTGATTGTGGAGCCAGACTGGGTATTTGAAATCAGGTAAACTACTTATCCCTGAAACATTGAGGTCAGATTTCTGGCTAGTGAGCCATCTTGGATAATTCTTTTCAAGACTGTGTTGTGAACTCTCTTTCAATGATGATTTCTTGGGAAAAGATAAAGATGATTCAAAAATACATTTATTGGTCCTATTCATAAGTTTTGGGCTTTTTAGTTTACTACATTGCTTTCCATTTATATTTGTGTCTACAACACGTGTAACTAAGTTATCCTTGCCCATGGAAGTGCAGGAATCTTGAAAATTCAGATGCTTTTTAATGGCCGAGGAACCCAGTCTTCCAGTGCATTTCTTGTTTTTCTTGCATAGTTTTACTGGTCCAACATCAGTGAAAGAAAATAATCCATCTGCTGGAAGTCTTAACAGATCATCAGTTGTTAGGCTAATGGAATCTATGTCATTAACAATCTCTCTTCTATATGATAAGGAGTTTGAGTGCTTTTTGTGACCAAGATTTTCAAAAGCTGAAAAATAAAACATAGTTCAATTTATCTTCCTTTATCATCTATACTTAGTAACATTCAACAGTAAACAAGAATTAAGGAACTGAGAATTGTTTTTGTCACCTCATTATCCTCACTAAAGTTTTAATTGAATGTATAAAAGATACAGGTTAAGAAAACAGAACATGCTTGCTTTCTCACATCTCTTCAATGTTTAATTTCTATACATTTCTCTCCAATCACCTAAATTTCCCCATGTTTTTTACTTTAGGATTTCTTCAATTTTCTTCATCTAGACATACCCAATGAATTAATACAATCAAATCAACATGGTTCATTCAATATTGGCTGTAACATAGAAAAATATGCGGTTCAACTAGGTGGAAAAATTAATTTTTGTTCTCTCTTACCCTGCAAAGGCATGGTTACAACACAGAAGACAGGTGTTCTAATTCTATTCTTCTGAAAAATATTGTTCATAACTAAGAATTTAATGCAAACTTTTTCTATTCTAGGCCTATTCTGTAAGTGCTCAATAAAGTGCTAACTGGTTTATCAGCAACTGCATTATATGAACTTGTCTTCGTGGAAGTTTTATCAAGAAAACTCTTTATCTTTTGAACATTATTGTTCCATAAGATATAGATCAGAAAGACTAATACAGATCTATCTTATCAATTGAAATTGAGCAAGAATAAACTTAGAAAGGGTGCACTTTAAGGTCATTAAGCTAGTTAATGAAAGCCAAAAAGCACATCAGTACTCTATCCATTACAAGATAGTAAAATGACTTAAGTTAGGAGCTACCTGCTCTTAGACTCATCAACTTCCCTTGCAAGGTCAAAGAGGAATTTTTAAGCTGAAAATTTCTGAGAACCAGAGAATTATGCAAGCATTTCACAAAACTATTCAGATTTTTTTTTACTATAGGTTATTTTTATTCTGACATAACAAAAAAAAGTTTAACTTTATAAGACTACAGTCAATCTCTGAAATGCTTCAAATTATTAGACAAAGAAAACAAATAAAAGCATACCATTGTTTGGTTTATAAATATATTTGGAGAATTGAGGCACATTCGCAGATCTCTTATCACTGCTAATTTTTCCAGTGCTTGTATCAGAGTATATTTGGCTTAAATCAAAATCATCAATGTAGGCCTGCAGAGCCTGAGAAGCAGAACTGTACAGTTTATCCTTATAGTGAAAAGGGCCATTAGAGTTGGAAGAATTACCACCATTCAGATTGCAGCTTGCCAGAAGGGAAGAGACTGAAGATTCCTGAGAACAAACTCTGTGCTTTGTGTTTGATTTTGCCATGGCTTCCTCAACATGGGTTACTTTTATCCATTTTCCTTAAAGACAACTGTAACATGAAAACAAATAGTTAAGGCACCAATTAAAAGGAATAATGATGATATACAGAGAAAATTACTAAATACACTAACTTAAAATTTTTCTTTAAGAAATAAAATCAGGGTGGGGATGTGGCTCAAGCGGTAGCGCGCTCGCCTGGCATGCGTGCGGCCTGGGTTCGATCCTCAGCACCACATACAGACAAAGATGTTGTGTCCGCCAAATATTAAAAAATAAATATTAAAAATTAAAAAAAAAAAGAAATAAAATCAGTTATTTATAATAGAAACTCCTTTTCAGGCATTGTAGGTTTCCTAGTATTTTACAAATTCTTTCATCAATGATGTAGAAAACACTTATTAAGCAGCTACTATGTGCCTGGAAGTATGTATACAAAAGTTGTCTGAGAATATACATGAGAAGTATCAATGAAAGAATACTCACATTTAAAGTCCTAAAAACCACTGATGAAAGTCTGTTTGCTAATGGTGACATATTCTATGACATCACAAACCTAACATTCCCTTATATACAATAAATCATAAGCTTACAACCATTCACTGCAAATAGTAGGTACTCAATGAAAAGGAAAAAAGAAATTTGTTGCCCAGGCTGGCCTTGAATTCTTGAGCCCAAGAGGTCTTCCTGTCTCAGTCTTCTGAATAGAGGAGACTACAGACACATACAACTGTACCTACCAACTTCCAATACATTTTTAAAGTCATTAACCATTGGAAGCAAAAAGAAAAACATCCACTTTCAAAATTGTAAATGCCAAGATGAAACTTCAGTCATTCTCCCAAAAAAAGACTAACGAACACAAAATATAAATAAACTATAAGTCTTACTTCAGAATGAGCTAACAATCTGAACTTTTCCTAAAATAACCTTTTTTTGACAGAACTGGGGATCAAACTCATGCACACTTGCACACTAGACAAGCACACTACCATTGAGCCACACCATTCAGCCTTTTTTTTTTTTTTTTTTGGAGAGAGGGGGTCTCCCTAATTTACCCAGAATGCCTTCAAGCTTGCAATACTGTCTTACCTCAGCTTCCACAGTAGCTGGGATTAGAGGTGTGCACCACCATGCCCAGCTAAAATAACATTTTTTTAATACCATCCTATTTTCAATTTTTATGTTGACCAGATTCAGCTCATCTTTCAAAATAAGTTTAGATCATGTGAAATTAACTTAATGTATTCATCTTGATGGGGTTTTTTTATTACTAAAACAACTTATTACAGGAATAATAGGAACTATATTTAAAAACCCAAGAAAAAACAGAATGAACAGGCACTAAAACTCAGAACATGATATGACATTTGTTGAGAAGTAAAGAATTTTCTATAATAAAAAAGAAGAATTAATGTCTAACACTTAACATGCTATGATGTTATAGTCAGTATGTTTGTTTTTTGGCTATCATTTTGGAAATATTTAAGTCACAATAGCTTTTTAATTTAACCTTAGCAACTGTCAAATTTGCCTTTAAATTATAGAAAGTTTTAATCAAAGAGATGGTAATAACACCTCCTGTCCACAGCCTCAGAGCGTGCCTTTCCAGAATTCTGACAGTGTTCGGACAACAGAACATAAGAAAACGACTATTTAGCCTCTTCCATATCCTTGAAATGTCATGATATAGGGAGATCTCCACAGAATGGCTTAAATGCACAAGAAAATTTACTTCCCTAAGTTTAACTGACAGTCCCCCCGCCTTATCTGAACATATAACAGGTTACGATTTTATTTTACAAAACCTTAACTAATTGGGTTATGGTTCTTCATAAGTGGGTGATGACATTCACCATGTCATTTTAATTCACAAGCGTGACGACAAGAGAATCCACAATTTAATTTCTATTTTATGGAAAGTTTTCAGACCTATGCAAAAGTAGGTAGGGTCTTTGAATAAATTCCTCTGCATCCGCCACGCTGCTTCCACCAATGAGCAACAAACCTCAACTATCCAGATCCCCACCCCCTTCTCCCCACGTCAACCGCGGGATCATTTCGAATCTCACGCACTTTAAGCAAAGTCCGAGCGTCTTACCATTTCCTCCATAATCACTTCAGTTCGAATATCCTAAAGCAAATCCATCATGCTCAAGGGAACGTCAAAATTTAAGAGCTTAAGAGCAAAAAAAAAAAAAAAAAAAAAAACCCTGATGCAAAACAGAGAATGTTCCGTGTTAAGAAGCCAAGAAGCGGCTCCCAGTTCCTAAGCTACGGAGGCGAACGCTGCTCTACTCTGCAGCAGGAGGACGGGACGTGCAAAGCCCCGGCAGCCGGCGCCACCTCCGGGGCCGGCATCCGCGCATTCGGAGCGCGACGGGTCTCAACTTTCCGCCCGATTTCTCCAACACCCCGGCCCCCGGCTTCAGTGGCTTTTCACTCCGAAACCTTTAATGCAGGGCGCCGCGGCGGGCATTCCGGGGCGACCACCCAGAAAGCGCAAGCCCGGGCCCCTCTCCCGCCGGCCCCGCCCGCTAGCGTTCCTCCACGTCCCCACGCGCGCCCCCCCTCCCGAGGCCTCTTCCCCGTCCCTGCGGGCGCCCGTCCGTTAGCCTTTCCCTCGGGCGGTCCGAGGATGGGGCGCCGCTCGAAAAGACGCCCTTCTTTCCCGCCTAACTCACCCACGAAGGACCCAAATGAAGTTCAAAAAACGCACGTTTCCACCAGTCTCCGCGGAAAGCCCAGACCTGCTACGGAATGCAGGGGACGCGACAAAGCATCACCTCAGGCGCCCCAGCCCGCAGCCTCCGCCGCCGTCACAGCGCCAGCCACGCCCGCGCTCGCCTTCAAACCGACCCAACATGGCGCGGGCCTGCGGTGCGCGTGCGCGGCGCTCGGGCGCGGGCGGGGGTGCTGGGGCGTTAGGTCGCGGAACGTGGAGTTCTGCCGGGTCTGCTCTTTGGGTTGGGAGGGGGCGGTTCTGGACTCGGTCCACGTCGCAGCGCCCCACGCCCCCGCCTCCGTCCTCGCCTCAGTCGCCGCCGTTTTTCAGCCACTCTGCGCAGCCCACAGGCCGACCCTGGCGCGGGGCTGTAGGAGGCGAACGGTGGGGAGGGGACTGGGGGGCGATAGCAGCCTGGGTTCCTGTCGCTGAGAGGCAGGCCCCTCGTCCTGGTCTTTGCACGTGAGCTCGGCCTCCGGCTTCCCGAGAAGGCCCTCCCAGGCTGAGGCGTCCCGAGCAGGCAGCTTCCCCGCCACCTGTTTCCCGCGCTCCTTAGTCGCCCGTCCCACGCGGAGCCGGCCCTCCTGGGCTCGCAGCCGGCTCCTGGTACCCAGAGCAGATGCAGGATTGCAGAAGGCAGCTGGGCCTGGGATGGGATTTAACAAACCCCTTGGGGACCTTGATTCCCAGGGAAGAATGGCAGTGACCACCACGGATTGGGGGCCCAGTCAGGCAGCCCAGAAACAGGGCGTTCATACAGACAGATGTAAAGACCCAAAACCAGCATGTGTGAACCTACCTCCACGGCTGGGACAGGATGTGAGGCGCCAAGAATCCAGTTCATCCAACTGGTGTGTCAGAAAAAGATGCCATCTCAATATTTGTTTATGTTTATTTTCCACTGACCCTGTGGGTGAAGACGTCCTTGTCTAATACTCCATCTGAACGCTTTCCAGCTCATCCAGTATGTCACCAGGTAACACCACTGAAGTCTTGTTGGCTGTTTCTACTTTCCCCAGGCTGAGGCATCCCGAGGCCTTAGCCTCTCTCACCTGCTAAACTTTGCCTTCCCATTTCTTTTAGCAAATAAAAGTCCAGAAGCTATAAAATTCAGTTTAGTGGTTCAACGAAACTGAATTTAATTGAAATTAAATTGTTACTGATCAGAGTTATTGATAAGAAAACAATAAGACAGTCTCTGCAGGAGTTTATAGCTAGTGATAATCTGAAATTTTTAGATCAATCAATGTCAAGTAAGTCGCTGTTAGAAAATGATTATATGTTAGGAAAAGCCCAGGTCAGGGATCAGCCAAGGACAATTAATGGCATGAGCTTAAAAAATTAGGACTTGTTTAAAATTAGGACAAATGACCAAACTGGGCTTAAAGATGAGTTGGTGATGAGTTAGGGGAGAAAAAAAGTTTATGCCACAGTTACTTTCATAATTTTAATTAAAATCTATTCAGAAAAAAAATCTACATTCTACTAAATATTTTATAATCTGGTTTTTTTTTTTTTTTTTTTTTTTTAGTTTCTAAAGGCTCTTCATAAACAGTATCTTTAAAGTGTCTTGTACTAACTTTTTCTTCTATCTTGGGTCATATAGAGCAAAATTTCCTAACAAACACACAAAGTATAAATGAAGGACACTGAGAATATTTGAAGGAAATTATCAAATATATTGACCTAATTAATGGATCAAAGTAATTCTTTTTCACTTTGTTTCCTTCCAGGTTAACAGATATGGAGGTTTCTATGAGGATTTGGAGAAGAGTCTCAATGACTGCTAAAATTCTGGACTAGATTTGTTAGGAAAGGTAAAGAAACAAGGATCTACTAGAAGTAAAGAGGAGGTTATAATGGTTTAGTAAAGCTTTTCTAATATTAAAAAAAAAGGTATCTACCTGTTGTGCCTTGCTGGAGAACTAAACAAGAAATAAATTTATGATCCAACATAAGGAGTTTTTGAAGAGGTTTAACATGATAATTAAACTCTTAAGATGGTTTATTAATGTGCTCAAGGAGGCAGCGTTTTGAAAAAAAAATTAATGATGATGTTAAGTGTGTCCATTTTAAGAAAAGACACTAACTTTTTTGGTCAATTATCACAAGGCCCTCATTGTTTCAGGCACTTAATCCTTGTAGACTCCATGGGATATTATTATCCCAACTTATAAATGTGGAAATTTAAGTTAAAATTAAGCAACTTATTCAAAAATACAGCTGCTGATAAGTGGCAAGGTTAGCATTTGAGTCCAGCTGTTTTTGATTCTTTGCACCATACCTGTCAGCTTTCCCTAATTGAAAACTGGTTTGATGGGCAGAAGGGCCAGTGAGTCTACAGCTTTCTGAACTCAATTCACAGGAACAACATTATGTTACTCAACTTCTTTGCTATTCCTACCGCTGTACCTTTAAGTTGCTTCAAGATTACTATAAACTGGGTGGCTCATAAACAGTAAATGAATTTGTTCCTCACAATTTTGGAGGCTGGAAGCCTGAGATCAGGCTGCCATCATATTGGTTTCTTGTGAAAACCCTCTTCCGTGTTGCATATTGCCACCTTTCGGCTGTCACTTTCTGGCTTTGTCCTCACATGGCAGAAAAGGCAAATGAACTCTGCGATTTCTTATTTGGACACTATAGTCTCATTCATGAGGTCTCTGTCCTCATGACTAATAATTACCTTCCAAAGGTCCCATCTCCTAATAACATTGTATTGGAGGTTGGGATTTTGACATGTGAATTTCTAGGGAGACAAAAGCATTCAGTCCATTGCAGTACCTAAGTTCAAGTAGCAGTTCAGTAAATGTGTTTAAATTGAATAGATTTAAATCTGATCCTTTCTGAGGACGTGGCATTTAAAGAAAGACACCAATCAAACCACATCAGTCATGTAAACACATTGGAGAAGAGTTTTCCAAGCAGAGGGAATAGCAAGTACAAAGACCCTGAGGTACAAAGTTGCTTGGTTATATTTAAGGAACAGCCAGGAGGTCAGTATGTTTGTAGCTAAGTGAACAGGAAACAAAGGATCAGATCATGTAGTGTCACTGCCACTCATTTTTAAAAAGTCAATTCCCAAGAGCACATGAACAAAATAATAATGATTTATTGAATGACTCTTATATAACAGACACTGAAATACAATATTTAAATACAGTATCTCATCTAATCCTTATGCTAATTCTACAGAATAGGTATTATCTCAATTTTACACCAAGAGGAAAATTTAAAAAACAAATATTAAGTAATATGCTTTACAAAATAAGTGGCAGAAACAAGATTTAATTCAGGTTTGTGTGTTTGCAAAAGTTTGGCTTTTCCTACTATTACCACAGTTTCTCATTTGAAAGATTATAAAAGAGAAAGGGATTCACCCATGCATGCAATCAAAAAGTAATTATGTTGCATTGCTAGATGACAGGTATTATAGAAATTATATTAAAATGGAATGCAGCATTTTTAAAATTGTTTTTTTATTTAGGCAGAGGCGGACACATATCTTTATTTATTTTTATGTGGTGCTGAGGATTGAACCTAGTGCCTCACGCATGCTAGGCGAGCGCTCTACCTCTGAGCCACAACCCCAGCTCCCAGAATGTAGCATTTTAAAAGTTTGTATGTGAGCTAGGTATACACACCTGTAGTCCCGCTACTTGGGAGGTGAGGAAGGAGGATCTCTTGAACCCATGAGTTGAAGACCAACCTGAGCAACTTGGTGGAATCCTGTCTTAACAAGAGAAAACAAAGTTTTCATATGATTATGTTCTTATCAATCATTTGTTTCTAAAACTTTACAGATAGATGGACTATAAGGCAATTGCCCAACAAACTGCTCAAGAAGTTTTAAGTTACAATCAAGATACATCCGGCTGGAAAGTGGTTAAAATTTCAGTAAGAAAAGTTAAATATATTTCAAGAATTTTTTTTTTGAGAATTTACTATAAAAACATTTTTTTAAATATTTTTCTTTTATGAAGCAGAAAAATGTATTTTTTCTATAATTGACAATTTATTTCTGGATTTTTATTCCCCTTTGAGAAAAAGATAACTGTTTCCAGTAAGGCATCTAGAAAATTCCTCGGAAATCTGTGAGTACATGTTCCTATTTCCATTCATTTTTTTAAATTCAATGGCATTATTTTATCTGGAACTTAATTCTGCTTCATTAACTACAACATTATATGATAATAATCAAGAAACATTATTTAGTCAATAGGCTGAAATGTAGTATTAATATAATAAACCAATTACATACCATCTCATCCTTTATTTTTACACCTGAAGATAATCACACAAAAACATAAATAAATCCTTTTGAACTGGGTGTGTAGCTCAGCGGTCAAGCACTTGCCTGGCATGTACAAGGCCCTATGTTCAATTCCTAGTACCACCAAAAAAAAAAAAAATCCCTTCTAGTGAATAATTCATGAATATAGGAAATTTGCACTTCAAGAAATAATTAACTTATAAAAGCACATTGGTATTTTTTAGCTAGCAGTAGTATTTTATGGTCTTCTAAACTCTTCACCTTTCCTTTTAAATGAACCATAAAAAGTAGTTTTCTTCCTCATTTTATTTCTCTTGCCGATACATGCAATTTTTTCTAGAGGTTGCTTTTAAGGAAATATTTGAGGATCCTACTTCTTCATATGCAAGCACATTAAGGGAAATTGTGCTGACGTTTTCTAACTTCTTTAGAGTTATTCACTTATTGCCTATGATATCACATCAGTTTCTTCAGATCATCATGTATTGTTAAGAAGACCAAATTTTATTCAATTCCTTTTCATTTAGAATCCACTCCTTTGAACTGCTTACTAAAATGTATCTTGTACATCTAATTTTCTACTATTGGACAAAGCTGGTATGATTTTTCCCATTCATTTTTAACAGTTATGAGAAAAATACTGCTTTCCTGTTATCTAAATAATTAGTGACTAAAGTGGCACTTATAGAAACAATGATGCAAAGAATGAGTACAGTCAAGTCTAGGCCCTCCAAGGAAATAAATTTTTGGATCATGTGACTTTTTATTACCTTTCAGACAAAACCAATGTAGGCAGAAACCTATGCATCAAAGAAACTTTGAAAGTTGTTCATTTAGTCTACAAATATGTCTGGAGTATTTATTTAAGCAAGGTACTATATATAATGCAAAGATCCTGTCAAATAGCCTCCCTTAGGCTGTTTCAAACTCTCTGTTTCAAAGTTTATTGAAATTTTTTATCAGAGATATTTTACTGTTGCAAAACTAAACAATTAGAACTTTTTGTACTCACATTTTGAATGGAATTTATGTGCATTGTGTACCAGTTATATATTGATGCACAAATTACACTATAATTTAGTATCTTAGACATTTTTCCAGGCACAGCTTAGCCTGATTCCTCTATATCAGACAGTTTCTCAAAAGTGTCCCTAAGATGTCAGCTGGGGCCTAGGGCTCACTTGAATGTTCAGTTAAGGGAAGGTCTATTTTCAAGCTCATTCACATAGTATCACAAATTCAGTTCCTTGTGGGCTTGTTAGACTGAGGGCCTCAGTTCCTTGATGGTTCTTGGCTAGAACCTTCTTTGTTATTTGATCTGTGGGCCTCTCCATAGAACTATTAAGACATGACAGGTTGGGCTATGGCTGTGGCTCAGTGATACAGCACATGCCTAGCATGTGTGAGACACTGGGTTTGATTCTCAGCACCACATATAAATAAATAAATATCCATCAACAACTTAAAAAAAAAATACATGACAGGTTACTTACCTCAGAGTGAGGGATCTAGGAGAGAGCAAGAAATAGAGCAAACAAGATAAAAGCCAACCTAATCCACAACCTAATCTTAGAAGTTACATCCCATCACATTTGCAATATTAAGTGAATTACCACATACAGTCCTGACTCAAAATGGAGGGGATTACTCAGGGTGTCAATATCAGGAGGTGGGGTTTATTGGGGAGGTTTTAGAGACTGCTTACTGCACAGTGGATTTGTCAAACCCTTCTTTAATTATATTTCAAAACTAAAATTAATAAAAAGTACATGAAACTTAATTTTGCATGCATGTTTTTCAATCACAGCCCACTGATTCTTCTAAATTTTCTATGGTTATGTCCAGAAAGAGTATGATTGGTGCAGTTTATACTTGTTGAGATATATATATATATATATATATATATATATATATATATATATATATATATAATATTTTTATTAGTTATGGCATATATTTAGGTGCTAACAAAGAAAATCAAGTTGGGCATGTTGGCCAGGTTGGTATGCCTCATTTGAAAGTTTACATTACCCAGAGGAGAGCAAGAAAGTGAGACTACCACCAATCAAGGGGAGCTTACATTTTTCCATTGCTTCACATCTTCACAGTTTAAAAGAACTGCAAATAATCAAAGTAAGAAACATACATTTGAATTTAGAATGAGTAACCAGACATAAACATTATATACCTATGAGATATATACTATTGTCCAATATGGTTTGCCAAACTAGAGTCTGGGAGAAATGTAAACTGTCAAAATGCACTACAGGGGAAAAATGATTTGCAGGGTCAAATAAATTTTCAAAACACTCCATACAGTCTCTTCTTGGAGATTCACTCTTAAGATTTAAAGAAGTCTTAAAGTAAGACACCTACTTAACATTAATTCATATTTTTTCAAAAATAAAAAAACTTTGTTGATCTGAAGGAAGGAACATTTACATGAAGGAATTTGAGAATAGCTCACAGAAAAAATTAGAAACCAACAATTTTAAATTAAATTTTTATTTTAGTTTATTTTATGGGGATTGAACCTAGGGGAACTCTACCTGTGAACTTCATCCCCCAGCCTTTTTATTTATTTTTTTATTTTTTGGTACTAGGGATTAAGCCTAGGGGCACTTAACCACTGTATTGTCCCATCCCCAGCACTTTTTTAATTTTTATTTTAAGACATGGTCTTATTAAATTGCTTACACTCTTGCCAAATTGCTGAGGTTGGTTTTGAACTTGTGGTCTTCCTGCCTTACCCTCCCCAGCCACTGGGATTACAGGCATATGCTACCATGCCTGGCTTTTTTCTTTTCTTTTAAGACAGAGTCTCACTAAATTTCCCAATGGCCTTAAACTTGCAATCCTTCTGCCTCAGCATCTAATTCTCTGGGATTTCAGTCCTATGCCACCAAGCCTGGCTTCAACTAAAATTTTAGAGAAAAATTCACATACAGAGAAGTAGTCTAATGAATTCCTTGCTTACCAAAGTATAAAAGCAAAGGCTCAGAGTAATAATGTTTTACAAATATAACAACTATTTTCTATAGTAATAGTATTATTTTTTACCTCACTTCCTGAAGAAATTTAAATTTCAAAAGTTTAGAAGTTTGATTTTTCTTAAACTTATTCCCTTGCTTTGAAAAGAAAGACAAAGGGAGAAAGAGTGACCCACACTGTTCTGACTTTATTTTCATCTGTCAATCTTATGTTAATATTGAGCTTGAATTCAGTTTTCTCACACTGTCTTAATTTCATTGGTATACAGCCAAACATACACGAAGGTTTATTTTCCCATGTTGTTGATGGTAAGCTGGAATTTACTCTTGGAACAGTGTTAGTTCCTTTAGGCCAGTGGTTGACAAACAACTGCAAGCAGAATACATCTGGACTGCTGCCTATTTCTGCACAGCCTTAAAACTAAGAATGACTTTTATATTTTTCACATGGATGAAACAAAATCAAAACAAGAATGTTTCCTTACATGTGAAAATTAATGAAATTCAAAACTCAAAATCTATGAAGCTTAATTAGAGCACAGCCATATCCATTCATTATGTTATCTATGGATGTTTTACCTCTACACTAGCAGAGTTTAATGTGACCTGCAAAGCTCATTATTTATCATCCAGACTTCTACTGAAGAGCCAACTGACCCTGCTCTAGACCATATTATGTTCTTAAATGTCAGGGCTCCAGATGCAATGGCGCCTGCCTGTGATCCCAGTGGCTTGTGACACAGAAGCAGAAGGATCCTGAGTTCAAAGCCAGCTTCAGCAACTCACCAAGGCCCTGTCTCTAAATAAAATATTAAAAAAGGGCTGGGGATGTGTGGCTCAGTGATTCAGTGGGCCCCTGGGTTCAATCCCCAGTACCAAAATTAATAAATAAATAAAAATCAGAGCCATGAGGTACAAACCACACAAATTTCTCATCAATGATCATTGGCTTATGATAAAAACAGCAGGTAAATGTTAGTGGAAAGACTTCAGAAAACTATAAATAAAAACAACCCTTTAAAAAAGATGATCATTGAAATATTGCAAACAAAATTAGTAGAAAAATTAACTTGGAAATTCAATTATTGCAGTACACGTTTAAATAAGCATTGCTACTTCCAGTTGGATATTAGTGTACTAAATTGCTGACACAAGTTGAAAATCTGTAATTCAAGGCTGAAACCTGAGATATTCCAAATGTAAAACTTCATAAGCACAAAACATGATACCATGAGTGGGTAACTTCATACCATGAAGCTTTGTTCATTCACAAAATTATTTAAAATATTGTGTTACATTATATTCAGCACCTGTGATCCTAGTGACTTGGAAGACTGAGACAGGAGGCTCCAAGTTCAAAGCCAGCCTAGGCAACTTAGTGAGGCCTTATGGCAAAATAAAATAAAAAGGGCGGGGGATGCAGCTTTGTGGTGGGGCACTTACTAGCAAGTGTGACGCCTTAGGTTTAATCCCCAGTAACATACACACACAGACAAATCACCTTCAGGGCTATGTGTATATGAAATGTAAATGAATTCTGTGATTCAACGAGGTTTCTCCCAAGATATCTTATTATGTATATGCAGGTACTCCAAAATCTAAAAAATCCAAAATCTTAATTGCAAGTATTTCAGATACACGTTGAGTATTACCTTCAGGGTTTTTATTCGTTAAATTTGCCTGTCTTCAAATTTGATAGCAGCTTATTATCAGCTTAAACTTAAGTATTAAATTTTCTTTATTTTGTTAACTATAGATATCGTGTTGAAGGGATAATTCCAGAATCAACATTTAAACTATCTGATTTCCTCTACCAACCTGGAAACAGAGTTGCATTGGGATAAAGCATTGAAAGTATACAATATGATACACAGGATTGATTCGGTAATTTATTTTTTTAATACTAGACTTTTCTGTGTCAATGCATCTTTAGTTTTATATCTTAATGATTTGTTTATTGAAACAATGTATGTAGACACTTAGTATTTATAGATTCAAATGAGTGAAAGTTTTTATAAAATTCTTAAAACTTTTCTCCTTATTAATCAAGAGTTTAATTACAATTAACATCATTCTGTTTGTAAATACATATCACATTTTGAATCTGGCAAAGTCTCTTGTACCTTTTGTTATTAGGGATCTGAACTCTCGGGGATTTACCTCCATGACATAGAAAACAAAAATTAAGCATTCCTGCATGGAAATCAAGACATATTTTAGTTATATTACATTACAAAACAGGAACAATGCAGATATCTGCTATTAGGACTTCCAAACAAACAGCATGTGGCACTGAGGATTAAAGATAAAATATAAAGTAAAGAAGTATCATTACATAAAAGGCTGCAGTTTAGAAATACTTTCAAATACATTGTCTTAGTTAAATAGATATGAAGAGGGATAATAAAAAGAACAGAAAAACATAGGTGATCACAGTAGAAAGTTGAAGACAGGTGAGAGGAAGAGTGAACGTGAGAGGTGAGTATTTTAAAAGGGGATGGAAGAAAAGATCAGGAAAGTGAAAATAGAGTGAAAAAGATCAGGAGAGGATGACGTAGAGAAAGAATGATACGTGGTAAACAGGTAGAAACAAGGGGAGACAAACAACGTAGAGGACTCTTAACATTCATGCAGCACACGACAGATCTCACTCATTAAAACTGCTATAAAAGTAAGCACCCAAAATGAAAAACAATTCTTACTGTGATATATTAAAATTTATTCTCCATTTATGTTACTGTTTGTTTTTTCCCTCTTAAGAATCTGTTTGGGGGCTTGGGATATACTCAGTTGGTAGAGTGCTTGCCTTGCATGCACAAGGCCCTGGGTTCAATCCCAGCACCATAAAATAATAATAATAATAATAATAGAAGAGAAAAGGGCTGAAGATGTGACTCAATGGCTTAGTGACACTGGGTTCAATCCCTGGTACCAAAAAAAAAAGCTTGAAAACATTCTTCTTATTATTATTATTATTATTATTTAATAATAATATTTAATAATAGTAATAATAATGAAAAAAGAATCTGTTTTGTAAAAGGATCCTGATTTATTCCAGTCCCTTCCTCCCCAGACAGATATTTATGTTTTTTTAACAAATGAATTCATTCCACAAATACACTGGAGCACCCACTATTCAGGCATTGGGAATACAAGACAGAAAGTGTCCATTCTTTCACAGAGCTTACATTCCCTCAGAAGAGACATAATAAGCAAGTAAGCAATTAAAAAGATAATATCAGATGATATTAAGCATTATGATGGCTAGGACTTGACAAGAATAGTATGACGATTAATAGTTCCGGCAATGAATAGGAGAATGGGTTATAAAGGGCAAGAATAAAATTGGCAAGAACCGCTAGTTACACCTCATAGTAATCCAGATTTCTACATCTAAAAATTAAAAGAGTAGACAATCTTAAGTACTCCCTGAATCTTCTACACTCATAATTGTAGATCTCATGCCCCTTCAACACTGAAAATGCAAGCTGATTTGATGATAATGATCTGAAAACTGCAAAGCCTTGCTTTTTCCAAATAGAGATGCAACGTGTGCAATATAGTTCCTTGGGGAACAATACAAATGGTAAATATTAAATAATGTTTGCAATCTTTGTGATTTGATTTGTTGCAGGACACATTTATATGTCATACCATAACACAAAGTTTTGCCATGGGCTCCATTTCCCCCCGAGACTTTATCGACTTAGTATACATCAAGCGCTGTGAAGGGAACATGAACATTATCAGTTGTAAGTTGAAATGTTTTGCTCACATCTTGGAATTACAATGAGTCATTAATAAAACTTTTCCCTTATATGCAGTTAGGAAGAAACTCTTATTTTCAGCTATTTCCTTTAATTTTTTATTTACTCAGTAGGACAAATACATACATGCATCAAGTAGATAAATATATATTTCACCCAGCTTAGGAGGTGTCATGTATATAATAGTCAATGATTATATCATCTTCTGGACTTTTACAGCATAAACTCTGTAGGACTTAATAGATAGAGGTGCCTATAGACTAAAACTTCAAGATATACATTTTTTAAATCATAGAAGCAAAATTAAATTTTTGGATATATAATTTTATACTTCAATTTCTTAGAATGGCCATATATAGTAAATGATTGAAGTAACTATTGAAGAAATTTCCACTAGATGGGTCATTACATAAATGTGCTTTAATTTCTTTTAAAAACTGAAGACCTTGATATATGCTTAGCATCTCCTTTGCAAATATGTCATTCTGTAAAATGTGAATGTGTAACCATTTCCTTGCTTGCATTATTGACTCAAAACATACCAAGTTGTGGTAGACATTAATAACTTATGGTGGAGAGACTTTGGGAGAATAGTGGCAAAGATCCCTGGTTTTCTTTGTAATTGATTTAATTTTACCATTCTTTTCTGAATAGTTTCCTCTACTGTGGGGATAGAGACAATTACGTTTAATTAGCATTTCCCAACAAAGTTTCAGTTACTCTGCCCAGTCTAACTAATTGCTGTCACTCAAATCCATTTTGTTCTGTTTTGCAGCAGGCCACTAAGAGCTGATGTTCATCATCTTCACATATTTTTGTCTCATTTTTGAAATGACAGAACATAAAATGTATCAATTACCTACAATACAAAATGCTGTCTTGTCTGAATCTGTTATTTTCTATATTTAGATATCAGACCATTTCTATCTGTTAGTGATCAGATAGAAATTTTTAAAAGCACAGAGGGTAAAACCAACAACTAAAGGTAATCAGTCATTTAGTGCAGAAATCACTACTGAATTTGCTATAAGAAGTTTCTATTGAATGAATTTTTGATGAATACTTGTGGGTTATTTTCTTAGTTTTATTTATCTTACTCTGAACCTTGCTTTGAGCTAAATATTTTGCATGCATTTTCATTATTGACAAAACTGAAGTTCACAGAAGTTAAGCAGTTAGGAAATTAAGTTGCATACTAATAAGCAGCTGAACCAGAAATAAAAACCTCTGGTCTGATTTTCCAAAATAAGTGCTGACTACCATACTGTGTACCTCATAAAAAACACATGCATGCCTGTTTGTAGACTTATTTCTTTGAAAACAAAATACAAGTATAATCTTCATATTTTAAATAGAGAAAAATATTTTACTGTTACTTCTGGAAGTACCATTAGGCCAATGTAATAGTCTCTGTTAAGATACTTATACAAAAATGGAAAATTCATTCAACCATATAGGCTTTTAAACCTGTTTCAGATTGTATTTCCCATATAACAGATTGCTTATGTTCAAATCACATAATAAAATTAACCACCTCTGACAAGAACAGGATTTAGTTGTGTAGAATAAACATATATTTAAAAAATTTTTTTAGTTGTAGTTGGACACAATGCCTTTATTTTATTTATTTTTATGTGGTGCTGAGGATCGAACCCAGTGCCTCACACGTGCTAGACAAGCGCTCTACCGCTGACCCAAAACCCCAGCCCCCAAATAAACATATTTTTTAAAAAAGATTTTAGAAAGAGTATATATAGCCATAAATTAAATCATAATTAAATCACCTCTGTCTGCATTTACATACAATTTAGATACTTTTCTGTATAATTACTAAAACAAATTCTACTGATCTTTATACTTTGCAGTTAGCTATAGGGAATTAGCGAAAGAGAGCATTTTTAAACTAGTCACTTTAAACATTTTATTTTTTTTTAATTAATAAAAAATAATTCAAACCATGACATTAATGGTCTTTTTGCTATTTCTTCTTTTGTTTCAAATCTCAGGAAGTAATTTTTATACAAGAAAAACTGTTAAAAGCAATAAATATAATAGCAGGGATCTGGGGTTGTGGCTCAGTGGGGAGAGCACTTTCCTCCCACATGTAAGGTGCTGGGTTCAATCCTTAGCACCACATAAAAATAAAAACAAAATAAAGATATTTTGTTCATCTATAATTAAAAAAATTAAAAATTAAAAACAAAAAGATAACAGCATGTTTAGAAATACTATTGCAAATGTATATACCTATAAAATTAATGCTAATGTTGATAATTGATAACTAAATTAAAATAAGTGTTATATATTTCTAAAATATGCTTCTGGCAATAGTTTTTATCTTTGTGAATTAGGTTTCATTTTAATATTTTTTTAATCTCTTAGCTAAAAGTGTGGATTTCCCAGAATATCCTCCATCTTCAAATTATGTCCGAGGTTATAACCATCCTTGTGGCTATGTATGTTCACCTCTGAAAGAGTAAGTGTTATTTGCATTTATGTATTTTAGCAGTTTTTTTTAGTTCAACTTGTGATTTAGTTCAGTATTCCTGTTCATCAGTAGAAACGTGTGCCAGCATATTCTGTTGGGGGTGGGGGATTGTTGGGGCTGGGGTTGTAGCTTAGTGGTAGAGCGCTCACCTAGTGTGAGGTACTGGGTTTGATCCTCAGCACCGCATAAAAATAATAAAATGAAGATATTGTGTTCACCTACAACTAAAAAAAATATTTAAAAAAACTATCCCTAAGTGCCATTTTTAAAATAACTTTTTTTCTATAATTTACAATTTTAAATACAATTATAATGGTTCTGAAATTGCTTACTTCTGGGTGGGAACCTGGATCTAACATCAGTGAGGATTAATCTGAAGTCTAAGTATCTGCTTCCTCTACAGTCCTATGCTCCTATTGCAGTCACATACACAAATTTGAAAAAAATTCCAACAGCCTAAAACAACTTTTCTAAACCTTATTTTCATCTGAAGTATGATCAGAATGGGCAATTTCCTGTAAAATATAAGTTGAGGTTTCTGGGATTAGTCAAATACATACAAACATTCCCCTGTGGTTAAACTTTCCCTGATGTTCTCCATTTCTCCATTACTCACTTCTATAAATTATTAGGGAGTCTTGTGAATTAGAAATAAATTCCCCTGAAATTTACCAGCAATGATTGCTTTATCTTAAAGAAATTTTTTCAAATGGACTGCCTTGCTCCAGCAGACAACCTATACAATGAGACATCCAAATAGGTACCTTCAGATAAGGGAAAAGCTGGAGAAATCAGAGATAGGTTACTGCTGACCGGTGGCCAGCCTAGGGATAAAGAGATAATATAAAACATGAACTCTATTTCAACATATATCATTTCACAAATTCCTTAAGCTTTAATTTATGCCTAATGATTTCTTATTAAGTAGAAGGTATTGCCACATAAAAAAAGGTGTAAAACTTTGTATTCATACAATAAAAGCTAAAATAAAACGAATTGTTAGACCTATGATCCTCAGTGTTTCCTGTACTGAATTGGGGAACTAAAAAACTATTTTTTAACAATAATTGACAAGATCATTGGTATAAATGACAATAAAAATCATGTGTGCTCTTTCCACTCATTTGTTTTAAATGTATGGCCCAGATTTTATTCCCCATAGCAGGAGAGAACAAAACAAAGAAGTATTACTTTAAATCAGTGAGTTAATCTGTTATCAGCAGGGATTTTATTTGGGAAATTATACATTCTAAAGTGTGCTTCACAGGCAAGCACCCTTCTTGCACCTTGTCACTCTTAACTTTCCACTGCAGAAACCATGGGGCCAAAGCTCTGGGTGGGAACTTTGCCTCCCATCCTGCTGGAGTAGGATATATACAGTCTCATTCACAGATTCAGGGAAAGATACTGATTTTTTTTTTTTAAATTAAGATTTTTTTAAAAGATTCTTTTTTTACTTTCTCTTTCTATGAAGCCCAGTATTTTGATCAGCCTACATTCGTGAACAAGGCATGCAGGTCACTTGTAAAACATATCATCAGCAGTAACTTAACTTGCTAGTAAATACTGGAAATGCTTCCTTATGTGTATCAATCCATAGTAAATTCAGATAGAGATTTGAGCGCCATACAAACTGCTAGTAAGTACTTGGCAATCGAGCCATTTCAGGCATTGTAAAAATAGTCTAAGCTCTGAATAGAGAAGAGTTTGAGAAAATGGACACGCACACATTGGTTGGCGCAGCAGTCTTCATATTGCCCAAAAGAATTGTATAGAACTGTATTCCCCCTTGCATGTTTTAAAGTTCACATTCAATTTCTTCATAGGACTAAATTTATGAAAAGGGTATAACTCCCTTAAAAATGTATCTTATAGATTCTAAATACCATAACAACTTGAAACCTACCATTCCCTTATCCATCACAAATGCAACCTATAGCAGTCAGAAATTTTATGTCCTCCTTAACCTCAATTTAAATTAAATTCTTCCCCTCACATAATCACATCCTAATGGAATAGATTTTAGGCTTTGAATTCTTTTTTAATTACCCTATCATAATTTTCTACAAAAATACATGGATTTAAGTTTTTTAATTTGTTTTTATTTCTGTGAACATAGTATACATAAGTTTTTTTTTAAATGCCTTCTTTTTTAAGTTGTTATTATTACACATTAATCAAAATTCTAAATTATAACTTTTGTCATACACTTACTAAGCATAAAGTAAACTTCTATGGAAACAGTTTTTTATTAGAAAAACTTTGCACTATTTCCAGGCATTGTTATAAACAATTTGCATACATTGACACTTTTTTTATATTTGTCTTTTAGTTGTAGGTGAACACAATACTTTTATTTTATTTTTATGTGGTGCTGAGGATTGAACCCATTGTTTTACACATGCTAGGTGAACGCTGTACCTCTGAGCCACAAACCCAGCCCCACATTGACTCTTTTCTATCCTCAAAGTGTCCACAGAAATAGGTCATATTCCTATGCCCAGTTCATAGAAAATAAAGTGGAAACCCAGAGATTAACTTTCTCAAGGTTACACATAGAAAATAGTAAAGCTCAGTTTCAAACTAAGACAGACTTCTGCTACCTCATTTTGTTTAACTGTAAATGGATATTACTAATAAGTGAGGCAACTTTCAATACCAAGTCTATTCTTATTTTATAAATAAAAAATTAAGAAACTCCTTTCGCCTACCCCTTGCCCTGGTACTGGAGATTGAATCCAGGGGCACTTTACCACAGAGCTACTTTCCCAGTCCTTTTTTAATTTTTTTTGAGACAGGGCTTTGCAGGTCCAGGCTGGTCTCCAACTTGTGATTCTTCTGTCTCAGAGGCATGCCCCACTGTGCCTGGTTTAGAAATGAGAAACTTTATTTACATAAATAAATAAGTTAAGATGAAAAGAATATAAATGACATTCTATGCCTTGGAATCCTTCTGGATCCTATATCATGAATCATATACCTATCAAAAATATTTTTAATGAGGATATTAGAAAAAGATTTATTATCCAATCATTAGTCATTCACTTTCTCAACTCACTTCCAATAAATTAATTTTTCATTAGCACATGCCACAATAAAGTACTAGGGGAGTATCCAGGACTTTTCAATGTGGATGACAAACAAGCCTTTGTTCTGTAAAGCAAGGAAAGAGTTATTTTAAATAGGTCATGGGAAACAACAAGCCCACATCTCCATCAAAGACATATTCTGAGATCAAATTAAGTTAAAAATTTGAAATTTTATTCCCTTAAACGTATTCAAGCTGGATGTGGTGGCACATGCCCATAATCACAGCAACTCAGGAGACTGAGGCAGGAGGATCACAAGTTTGAGTCCAGCCTCAGCAATTTAGTGAGGCCCTAAACAACTTAGCAAGACCCTGTCTTAAACTAAAAACTAAAAATCAAAATTCTAAATTTGATGTGACCTTCGGTTCAATCTCAAGTGCAAAAAAAAAAAAAAAAAGTGTTCAAATTCTCATACCCCAGTTTGAAGATCTCAGGGTTGAATATAAAATACTAGTGCTCTGCCTAACATGGTGACTCATGCCTGTAACCCATGCTCCTCAGGACCCTGAGAAAGGGAGGTTGCAAGTTCAAGGTCAACTTGAGCAATTTATGCAGACCTTATCTCAAAATAAAAATGAAAAAGGCTGGGGTGTAAACTCAGTGATCATTCACTTGCTTGATATGTATAAGGCCCTGGGTTCAACTTCCAGCACCACAAACAAAACAAACGATTATAAATACTAGTCTTCTTAGAGGGCAATTTGAAAATAGCACATCCAAATGTTAAATGATCAACCCAGATATTCTAAGTACTAATAAAAGTGTGACTGGATACATCACAAAGATGTTTTGTTGCAGTTTTATTTATAGTAGAAAAAGTAAGAAAAAACCTAAATGATAGTCTATAAAAGGAGTACTGAGTATAAAATATTATAGATGGCCATAGGAAAAAATTAAACAGATCTATAAGTAAAAATGCAGATGAAAATGCACTATATTCTATTAAGAAGAAAATAAAACTAGTTGCAGAAAAATAAATATGTCTCATTTTTTAAAAAAACTTTATATATATATATATACATGTACATTTGACAAATGCCTATAACTTTTAAATTATATGCATATTATTTTTGAAAGTCAATAAAATGAAAAAAAGGAAAAGATGCCTAAAGCTAAAGATTTTAATATATATTCTGTTGAAGATTTTAATATATTTTCTAAGTACTTAATAGTTTTAAGTAAAATTTTTATTTATAAGAATGTAACTACAGGGGCTGGGGTTATGGCTCAGTGGTAGAGTGCACGCCTTGCACATGTAAGGCACTGGGTTTGAGTCTCAGCACCACATAAAATAAAGGTATTGTGTCCATCTACAACTAAAACAATATTTAAAAAAAAAGAATGTGACTACAAATCACTCTATCATCCCCCTCCACCCCACCCTCCACTCCCGCCACTTCTTTCAGTAACTAGCCTATCATAAGGACTATGAAAGGAATCCATGGTGAATAAGACAAGAATCCTGCTTTCCATAAACTGGCAAATTCAATAGATAAATCTATAAATTATTTATCTTAACTCTTCCTTTGCTTACAGAAACCCAGCATATTCCAAACTAGTGATGTTTGTCCAAACCGAAATGAGAGGAAAACTGTCCCTATCAATAATTGAAAAGACCATGCCTTCTAACTTGGTAAGCTTCATCCTCAGTGCAAAAGATGGAATAAAGACTCACAAAGCCCCATCAGGACGTGGACATCATAATGGTCATGCATCATTCCAAAAGAAGAAATAAGGCCTTTCTGCTATTAAATCAGAGATTTAAGACCATACAAACTGTTAGTAAGTATGGTGAAGGAAAGAACATTGGAATAGGTAAAAATACACTATCCTCCTAAGTGTATTAAATCGTATTTGATGTTGACAAAAGATCAAAGGCAATTCAATGGAGTACAGGTAGCCTTTCTGCAAATGGCATTAGAGCACCTCATATCCTGCGGCTTTGACATGTCCTTACACCATACATAATAATTAACTCAAAACAGAACATGTAAATGCAAAGCATAACACCATAAAACCTTTAGGAAAACATCTTCGTAACCTACATCTAAGCAGAGTTCTTTAACATGAACCAAAAAAAGCAGGATTCATAAAAGGAAATTTTTATCATAAAATTTAAAATGTATACTATGTGAAAGATGCTGTAAACAGAGGATGAAAAGACAAGTGTAGACTGAAAGTATCTGCAAGGATGTGTATCCAAAACATGATGTATTTAGATAATGAGAGAGAGCTTTAAAACTCCACATTTTAATTAACAATCCAACTAGAAAACAGACCCAACGCCATGGACATTTCACTGAGCAGGATACGCAGATGGAAAATGAGCTCATGAAAAGATGTTCAACATCATTGACCACTGGTTAATACAAATAACAGTCAAAACGAGACGTCAAAACAATTATTATTATTATCAGAATGGCTAAGACTTTTAAAAATAGTGATAACAAGTGTTGACAAGGATGTGAAAAAACTGGATCAGTCATATATTGCAGGTAGGAATGAGAAAAGACACTGCCACTCTGGAAAAGTTTAGCAGTGTCTCATGTAACTAAACATGTGCCTAGTTATTACACACTTTCCCACAGAAGTGAAAATGTTCACACAAAAACCTGAGCACAAATGTTCATGGTAGCTTTATTCTAAACAACCCTAATCTGGAACCAATCCACAATTCGTTTAATAGGTGAATAAACTGTAGTAATCTATACATGAAATACTAATGAACAAAAAGAACAAACTATTGATACAACTCTAATGGTCTCAAGGGAATTATACTGAATAAAAAAATGCCAATCTCAGAAGGTTAAATAGTATATTTTTCCATGAATACAACATTCTCAAAACAAAATGATAACTAGAAATGAAGAACCAAATTAGTAGTTATTGGGGTTGGAAGGGGGCCAGAAAGAAAGTAGTTATGGCTTTGAAAGGGCAGCAGGAAGGATCTTTGTGATAAACCTGGTCCGTGCCTTGACTGTGGTGGTGATCACACGAATCTACACATGCAATAAAATTATACACACAGAGAGATTCATGCATGTAAAACTGACGCAATCTGAATAAAAGTGGTATCGTTATCAGTTTCCTAGTTGTGATGTTATACTATAGTTATCCAAAATTTTATCATTGGAGGAAACTGGGTAAAGGTAATATTATTTTTTTCAACTTCATATAAATCTATAATTATCTCAAAATAAATTTTTTTTAAAATAGCAGCCAGGCATGGTGGTTCACACCTGTAGTCCCAGCTCCTTGGGAGGCTGAAGCAAGAAAATCACTCAAGCCCACAAATTCAAAACCAGCCTTAGAGAACCTAATGAGACCCCATCTCAAAAATGTAAGTAAATAAAAAGAAAAACCTATCTAAGCTAAAAAGTAATGAGTCATGCAACTGTAAAGACATATCATAGTTGATAGCATTGGTTTTTAAATTTTCTATTTTAATTACCTGATATAACTCTTCTTATTTACATAGTTGATATGTTTGCATCATTAATACTTTTTTGATTTTACAAGCAATTTCTCTAGGGAAGATTTTTTTATCTTATTCTGGGGATTGCAGTGATTGTTAAGGAGATACTTAGTTTCAGGATAAAGTCTGCATTATTTGTAAATATTAAATTTCAAATCATAAATCTAAAGAAGCACACATATTTTTGGAATTATGGCTTGAATAGGTTTGATATTTTATAGAAAATAATTTCAAACTTCAAGTGTAGGAAGATAACATATCATTCCCATGAAGAATAATTAGATCTGTCCATGGTAAAGTCACATCTAACACGCCAATAATTGCCTTTTAGGCTCAGATGTTTGTCTTCCTGCCAACTTTATGTGAGAGGATGCACAGAAACCTGGGAAGGGAGAGAAGACATAGTTGGGGAGATGCCTGGAGTTGGGAAATATAAAGAAAGCTCCTATGGTTTAGAACTAAAGGAAATCTCTACTTTCTGTTCCCAACTCTGAATGTTCTTCTCTCTTCCCTGAGTATTATTTTTCCTTTTCTAATAAATTTTTAGAAGACATAATTAAAGGTATAATTATATTGATTTAGAATATGCCTTAGTTTGTTGAGATGCCACTTTAACTATCTTCCAATTTATACTCTTAGAAGAAAGTGAGCCTTTTTAACCACTAACTCCATAAACACACATATCACTGAACTACACATTTTAATATAATATATAGTCATCCCTTGGTATCCTCTGTAGTTTCAGGATAACCTCCCTCTAATCCATAGATGTATTCAAGTTCCTTATATGAAATGGCATAGTATTTGCATATAGCTTATACACATCCTCCAATATACTTTAAATCATCTCTAGTTTGTGATAACCAATATAACTAATATAAAACTATGTAAATAGTTGTTATACTGCATTACTTAGGGGATAATGGCAAGAAAAGAATCCTGTTCTGTCTAGTACTAACACTTTTTTTTCCAGTATTCTTAATCCAAGTTTGGTTTAATTTTTGGATACATATGGTTATGAACTGCCAGCTGCATATTCCTTTGAAATAAGAAATTACATCTATTATCAATGAAAATGAAGTTCACCTGAAATGTCTTTCACATTTTGACCAATGGTCCAATTACAGTGGTACAAATTTATAATTTTAGAGTAGTAAAAGCAATCACATTGAATCAAATGCACATTTTTGCCAAAAAACTAAGTATTTAAAATCAGTATTTGACCTGGCTAAAGCCAGCTCCTATTATCATCATCATAGAATGAACTACAATACAAGGGTAAGTCTAGGGTTTCATCCAAAACTATTTATTATTTTTTTTTTAATGTAATAGCCAAGCATGGTGGAGCATGCCTGTTATCCCAGTGACTCAGGAGGCTGAGGTAGGAGGACCACAAATTCAAAGCCAGTCTCAGCAACTTAGTGAGACCCTGTCTCCAAAAATAAATAAATAAATAAAAGGAGTGGGGGGTTGGGATGTACCCCTGGTTTAATCCCCAGTGCAAAAAAAAAAAAAAAAAGTAATAGTCAACATTTTAATTTGTTGTTGTTTTAGATTTGGGTTTTTTGTTTGTTTGTTTGTTTGTTTGTTTTTTGGTACCAGGGGTTGAACTCATCCACTGAGCCTATTTTGCATTTTATTTATAGACAGGGTTTCACTGAGTTGCTTAGTTCCTCCTTTTGCTGAGGCTTGCTTTGAACTCTTGATCCTCTTGCCTCAGCCTCCTGAGTAGCTGGGATTCCAGGCATGTGCCACTGCGCCCAGCTACATTTTAAATTTTGACATTAAGGCTGGGGTGGTGGCTCAGTGGTAGAGTGCTTTCCTAGCATGTGTGAGGCACTGAGTTCCATTCTCAGCACTGCATATAAATAAATAAATAAATAAATAAATGTGCATCATCAAATTTTTTTTTAATTTTGACATTAAAATGTAAAGGAAAATAATTTCTCAGAACTTTCAGATACTAGACTATATATATCTGTAGATGCTATATTGTACATCTTCAGTACTACAAAATACTTAGGTTCAAGAAATGCAATTATCTTACTTATTTGTACAAATAAAATCTTAAGATTTTTTTTCAGTCATATGATTTTTAGAATTAGCCTTGATTTAAGATTCATAGATTTGCCAAATCAGAAACTTCTTGATCTGCAACTATTGAAACTGGCAGTTTGCAATAAATCATTATGATAATATAATAAATTCAATTCTTAAATTTTATCCTTGCTGTGAAAGAGGTGCTTTGGGATTTAACTGGTCAGAACAAAACAATGTTTTTCACTAACACTTTCTTCATATGCTCTTTTCCATATGATGAAGATAATTTATGATTATATGACTACCAACGGCCATAATAATGATGTATAACAATCACAAAATATTGGGCTCAGAATAATAACCTCATTTACCTCTTAAATCTTTGGGTCAGTGATTTATGTGGGACCAGCTGAGCTCCCTCACATGCCTGGCAACTGCTCCTGGATTGCCTGAGAAAGGGTGGTGTGTACTACAACCGTTGGGGTGACTTATCTCTGCTTCAAGATTTTCATTCCACAGTAGCATAGCCTGGTGTGTTCTCACGAAGTAGCTAGGGGAGGAAAGGATAAGTGCTGTTTCAAGTCTGAAGTCCTATGGCAAAGTCATTCCAATAAGCAAAGAAATAGAATTTACTCTTTTAGTAAAATTATAAAGTCATATGTTTGTAAAAGGGTACAAATACAAAGAGAAGTGAAGAATTGAGAGTATCAATGCAATTCATCTACCATATTTCACTCTCTGGCCTATAATCACAATTCCTTCAACATATAAAACATACTCAATCCTAAGACCCTAGAATATCAATCTTCAAGTCTAGGCTTTCACAATCCATGTCAGGTTCAGATGCAGTTCCTCTTGATCTATAGACAGTGAAGCCCCCCGCCTCAGTGCACACACACACACACACACACACACAATCTACAATGATAAATAAGGAACCAGTATACTTTGGAAATGGGAAAGAATGGGAACTGCATAGTCACTGGTTCCTAACAGTTCTGATAACCCAGCACTGAGAGCTGCTCTGATTCAATTCTTCATAGCTTTTGGTTATACTGAAATGTTCTCCTTTTCCCATCACCCTCATCTGTTTTTTATGAAGAAGTGATTGTTATCTTAGTAACTTTCTCAGGCTGCTTCTTAAGCCAAAGAAAACCTGGGGCCCAGAGACATTTTTATAGCTTGAACTATCTTTTAGTACAGGCACATGATGTTTTGAACTATGCTGCTGCCTTTAAAACTGTTGAGCTTTCTCTACCACACAGCAAAGCCACACCTGTAATGGGTATCAACATGCTTTCCTGAACTTTTGCTATTACCTTCGGTTAAGGCTTCTGTAGGACCACACCCTTAAGCTTTGTCCACCTCAGACCTATGCAGAACTGTAACTCCTGAAAGCTTAACAAAATATCTGATAGTCATAGTCTTGATTTGATGTTTGACTTGTCATGTCTCTAAGACTTTTGCTAATTTGAGAATGTGGAGAAAAGATGACAATTTTACTTTCCTGGCTATTTAATTTGTACTTATGAACTGGTATGCTTAAAAAAAATAAATTCTCTATTCTATGCAGCTAAATTCCACCAGGTGGCACTCTGTACATTTTGCCTGGAGAGAGCCTAGGCCTAAGCCAAATGTTATTAGGTACGTTTTGTTTTCCAGGGAACCACAAGGCAGCTGTTCTGCCAAATGTTTCATAACTTCTTAGAGAAGTTTCCTCATCACTATTCCAACCTTTATTGACAGTATTCTCAACTCCCTGGTGCCCTAAAGCCTAAATACCACATATTTTCTGTCCTTGTTGTGCAGCCCCTCATTTCCATGTGCCAACCTTTGTAGCCGTTAATCTATTACTGAAATAATGCTACAAAATCATACTTTTTTTGGTGACTCATAGATATTTGCTTCATTACAACTGATCTAGTATACTTTATTGGTATTTATATTAACTGTTAATCTTTCCCTGTTCAATAATTAATAAATGTAAATAAAATTGACTTTATAATTGTTAGTTCAACATTTTTTCTTTGGAAAAATAATTACAACTTTATACTTTGATGAAATCACAGCAGAAAGATCAGGAGATTTAATTTCATTGATTTTTTTTGGTACTGGAGATTAAACCCAGGGGTGCTTAACCATTAAACCCCATCCCCAGTCCTTTTTATTTTTTGAGACAGAGTCCCACTAAGTTGTTCAAAGGGCCTCATTAAATTGTTGAGGCTGCTCTCCAACTTTTGATCCTCCTGTCTCAGCCTCCCAAATCGCTGGGATTATATGTGTGTACCATTGCACCTGACTCATATGAGATTTTTATAAGATAATATCTAGAATGCTTAGCTATCATTTGGAAATGGATATTCAGATATTAATAAATCTAAACATGAAGTTTGTTAATACTGAAATCATTAACAGCAGTTATGATGGCAACTTACATGATCACTTAATTTCATGTACAGTTTCATGGAATGTCACACATGATGCTAAAATATGTACTTGATTATTTGGCCATCTAAAACCAAACAACTGAATTTGGTTGAACACCAAGATTAGAGCTGAACACTTCAGTAAACATGTACAGATCCCAGGAGTACATGCTTCCTTTTCACTGCCAGGGTATTACATCAAAAAACAGAAAACTGAACAGGAATGCTATAGTATGGCTGTTTGATATGTATCCAAATAAGTGGTTTAGATAAATCAACTGCAAAATCAATTTTATTATGAATTTGTGATTTCAAACAAAAATTACTATTATGAAACAACCACTTTTAAAAATGCAGTAATTTCAGATTGGGGTTGTGCTCAGTGCTAGACCACTCACCTAGCACATGCAAGGCCCTAGGTTTGAACCTCAGCACCACATAAAAATAAATAAATAAAGGTATTGTGTCCACCTACAACTAAAAAATACTTTTTAAATGCAGTACTTTCTTTGTATATATACACACATACTATAAATATATGCAAACACGTTTGATAGATTCTGTGTACCGGTTACTCAACTCCATTCTACGCTGCTTCTATTTGAAAAGTTCAAAAGATGCTGGACTTTCTTACTACTTGATTGTGGGAGGCCAACCTTGCACAAGACTGAGTCACTCCCCAGCTGGGTGATTGAGGCCTCAGGCAGCAGCCATGCCGCTAGATACCCCGCTCTTCTTGGGTTTGAGGAATGGTGTCTTCCTGCCAGGCATGTCTTCCTACAAGGGGTAATTGCGCCCATGGGTGGAGCTATGCTCGCCTGTTTCTTTGTACTATTACCCCTTGCCCTGTTTGGGATAGAATGTTCCATGGAAACATCTTTTGTGTGTCCCCTTATCTTACTGTGCCCTTGGGTGTGGCCTTCCTAGATGTCAGTCAACCTGCTGATAGTGGACATCATGAAGCTAGACTCAGCCCCCTGAAACCTGACTCCTTGCCTCATTTGAATAGCTTCTCCTCAATAAAAGGAGTCAGCACCTGAGAGCTCTCTTTTTCCTCTTCCCACAGACCCTTAAGGTCAGAGGAGTCATCACAGCAACCAAAAAGAAAAAGGTATTTCTCGCTTGTGTGGTTATTTCGCTCAGCCCAGTTAGCCCAGTTCACCTGGAGTGACTCCAGAGTGTTTTAGTCACGAACAAAACCCGACACTTGATGTTTTATGTCTTGGCTTGGGTAGTTACATAGTTGTTGCTTAACTTATTAACACATCCATTTATGTTTATGCACTTTTCGTTATACAGATTTTATAAGCTTTTTAACACTAAAAAAAAATCTACATTTGATGAAAGACCAAGAAAGACCTAAATTCTAATCATGATAAAAAAATCTAAACCAAGACATATTATATTTTATTATATATATATATATATATATATATATATATATATACACACACACACACACACACACACACACACACACACACACACACATACACAGAGCTCCAAAGATAAAAGAGAATGTTAGATCAGTTCTAAATTCATGGTTATAAAGACTATTTTAGAAAGTGAAAAGAACTGTACTTGAATGTCTGAGAAGTCACCCAAAAAAAAAGATAAGCCCTCTCAAGATAAATATTTGAGCAAACATTGATTATATAAAACACTAACAATATTCTAATCTGGAGATTAAAGAACTAGAGGAATTTGATTAAAGTACATCAACATCTTTATGTTGTTTGAAATCACCATAGAACCTTACAATTTGTTATATGTTCAAGCAAGGTATATTTTTAAGGGAAATCAAAAAGGACTTGTAATAAAATGTTCACATTTCAAATAAATAGAAAATATATACTAAATGGAAAACTCAACCAATCAAAAATGAAGACAAGAGGTGGGGAAAAGCATAGCACAGAAAAAGATTGCGTGGATCCATCATAGGGGGTGTAGGGCAGAGGACATGGAGGTAGGAAAGCTGGTGGAATGAGATGAACATCATTACCCGAGGCACAGGCATGACTGCATGAATGATGTGACTCTACATCACATACAACCAGAGAAATAAAAAGGTGTGCTCCATCTGTGTAAAATGAATCGAAATACATTCTACTGTTATGTGTAATTAGAACAAAGTTTAAAAAAGAAAAAGCATGAAATAAGACAGCAAAAGTAAATCCAAACTTTGTCACTCTGGTGGAACAGACACTATGAAGAGCTCTCAATAACACTAGATTCTGGGGAAAGCAGACTTTTAAACTCATTGCTTGTTTGTCTTATATAGGAAATCTCCAGGCCTAACCCCTCTTGAGTCAACACAGGAAAACAAAACAAAAATGGAGCTGAAACAAAAGCAGGAAAGGAGCAGGAAGCACCAAGCACCAGGCAAGGAGAAGGTTCCAAAGGTAGGATTTGCCCTGAAGATAAATGCTGATGACAGCCTGGCCTTAACTTCTAGAGAACAGTAGCTAAGTCTAGGGAGCAGACACTGAGACAGCAACATTCTGACAGGACACCTGAAGGGGGCTGAAGTGGTGCCAAGGGGCCGAGGTTCTTACCACATGGCAACAAATGCAAATCACTAGCTGAAAGAAAGCGTCCGTCCACCATGTAGGTTTTCTGACTTTCCATAGATTAAACTAAGCCACATACTCAAGCTTTATAAAGCCTTCAAATAATCAGAAATGGAACACAACATATTGGACTTTTTAAAAACATAAGAAAAGAATTTGTTACTGAATTCATAGACCTGAATCTGGGGTACCAACTAACTGGATTGGGTTGCCCACCTGCATCAAGATGAAGAAAACAGTAACAAAAAGGAAAAAATAAATTGCAGTTTAGCCCAAACTGGGAAGACAGCTAATCTGTCTTCATTGTTCCTCCAACCCACAAAAACATCACATTTTAAAGGAGGGACCATGTATGGAGAATAAAAGCCAAGAAAAAGATTTATGTAGATTCAGCCAGGCTCTGCTAGCAGACAGGATGCGTCCTCTAAGGGCCAGGACTTTGGGGAGGCTTTGGGCAGTTTCAGTTTCCATTCTGGGCATGAAATGATTGCCCATAGGAAGCTGGGATGGAGAAAATAACTTAACAGATTAGCAAGACAATAGATGGGCTGAGG